CCTGCCCATGGCAGGGGGTGGAACTAGGTGATCCTTAAGGTCCCTTTCAACCGAAAACTTTCTAGTTTTCCATTATTTCTTTCTGCACATCTTTTAGGCAGAACATGCTGCTTTAAATTTGCATTTGCACCCTAACTATGATTATAGAAAAGGCACAATATTCTTTTGAAGGTGTGCTGGTTTTGGCTGGCAGTTAATTTTCTTCACAGTGGCTACTATGGGGCTATGTTTTGGATTTGTGCTGAAAACAGTTCTGATAAGAGAGAGATGTTTTCATTATTTTGCTGATCAGTGCTTACACGGTGTCAAGGCCTTTTCTGCCTCTCACACCACCCCACCAGAGGGGAGACTGGGGTTACACAACAAGCTGTGAGCAGACACAACTGGGACAGACGATCCTAGCTGACCCAAGGGATATCCCGTAGCACATGTCAGCATGCTTAGCATAAAAAGCCGGGGGAAGAAAAAGGAAGTAAGTTTACATTTGGAGTGATGGTGTTTGTCTTCCAAGTACCCATTACACATGATGGAGCCCTGCTTTCCTAGAGATGGCTGAACATCTGCCTCATTCACCCATAAGAAGTGGTGAACAAATTCCTTGGTTTCTTTACTTGTGTGTGAGGCTTTTGCTTTAGCTATTAAACTGTCTTTATCTCAACCCACGAGTTTTCTCACTTTTACCCTTCTGATTCTCTCCCCCATCCCAGCTCAGGGGGAGTGACTGAGCAGCTGTGTGGGGCTTGCTTGCCAGCTGGGGTTAAACCACATATTACAAGACATGGTTTTTCATTGTCAGTGCTTGAACGAGGGTGTATTTGACAAGAAATCCTCACAACACGAATGAAGCACATCCCTGAACCAAAGGCTTGTATGAAAAAGAACCGAGCTAGAGTTGTTTTAACAGTTGATGAAAATTCTGTACCCAATCTCTACATATGATTGATGGCTTCTTTGTACAGAGGGGAAAATGATCAATCCACAATAAGCAAAATAGCCAAGAACATTTACAAAGAAAAACTTTAAAACTTGAATGTTCTTTGCAAAGCCATTTCATGGTAGAGCTCAGAAGTGTGCATCTATTTAAAAATACTCACAGCACATCAGAAAAACTGTGAAGAATCACTGCTATTCTGAGTGTCTCTAACTACCAAGTAAGGCATACACATTTTCAGTTTTCAGAAAGCAGTATTTTTCCTTGAAGAAATAATGAACAAAGGAGTTATAAATAACTGTCTCTAATGAAGAAGCGTCAATAATAAAGTGCATTTTGCACTGTACTTACAATGTTGACTCTGATGATATGTTTATTGCTCTGCTGTCACATAGTATGATAGGAAATTTTTGCTCATGTAATTATAACACTGGATTTTTCAGACAGTTTATATTTAAACTAAGATACAGTAATAGCATCAAACTTTTTCCTATTGGAAAGTTATGCTTAAACACGATCTTGTCTCATAATTGTCTTCATTGTCTGGAAACAATTGAATCAAATGATTAAAATATTGTTTTTCACAGGTCGTAGATGAACTATAAACCAAGCAGAACTCAGTGTCACATGAGCAATCCTGCAAATAACCTTCCATGGACTATCCAACTGCAGTTTTCCATTGTACAGCAGGCAACCCATTTGAAACCAATGTTTAAGGGTCAAAGAATATCTTCTGCTTCCATCTGTCTTTGAGAAAGCTGTTGATGAAATCAAATTAATAATACAAAAGCCTAAACAATTTCTCATTCTCTGAGGAGCACTCTTGACATCAGAAAAATGTTTCCATGTTAGAGTGGGTTTCTCCTCCGGAAGAAAATGTCCTGTTTTGTAATAAATACAATGTATCAACAATAATCAAGAACTATTGATACATGGACACTGGTGACTCTCATCTGTCTCACCACAATTGTTGCAATGAACTTTGCTATCAGTCATTACAGAAATAATTGATTTAGACCACAACAATTCAGACACAAGTCATCTTGATGAAAAGCCTGGAGATCTGCAGGTGCCCAGCAAAAACCCAAAGCCTCACAGCTTAGACAGCAATCATAACTGCTGTTATGAGGTGAAAATAAGCAGATATGGCCAAAATGTTCATATACTTCTCATACAGTGCAATTTAGAGTGATGAAAGTAGGACGCCACTGATGAAACAGCTTTGCTTGCAGAGAATAAAAGCAAGATTTGGACACTATTTCCAGCCCACTAAAGTTTATACTGAAAGTGATTTTTTCCCCCCTCTTTTTATACATAGACAGGTATCATTCTGACTACAATCATACTTCAAAGCATTGTGTAGATGGATTTTGACATGAGGGTCGGGTAACTACCCTTATACTGAATCCAAGGCTTCTTGAGTTTTATAGCATATAAAATCTCTGTATTCTCTGTTTTAAGTTGGAGCCACTAACAGTCTAAGAATTCCAGATGTGGCTTTAAAGCTCTGTTTTCTAGCTTTCAGTGTAGTTGCCTTTCCCCCTCAACTTCAAAATTGTATCAACATGAGGTTTCTAAGGCAAACAGCTCTGGAAATATTGAAGGTATGATTCTGGCTCATGCGCATATGTAACCTCCATAGAGAACAAAAAAGTGATTTTAATAAAGACTAAATAATGAAAAGGGATATAGGTTAAAAAAAAATGCTAATACCGCAAGAACAGACACAGGGCTTGCAAGAGACACAAAGAAAACCCTTCAACGGACACCTCAAAAGCCCAGTAAAAATCCAGCTATATTCATAATCAAAAAGTTTTTTTGTGAATGAGAAAGAAAATTTAAAAGAGGCACTGGTATTCCAGCCCTCAGGCTTTTTTCAAGGTAAAACAACACAAATAAGCAAAAACTTCTGAACAGTCTTCCTTTAAATCACACTTACATGACACCTGTTTGGCTGCTGGCAAGGAAATCTCATATCCAATGAACTCCATTGAAGGCTTTAAATTTCCCCTTAGCAATCTAGCTTCTCAGCTCCTCTTTAAATAACTAAAACACCAAAAAAAAAAAAAGAATAAAAATGGAACCAGTGTCACTCTTCTCTCTCACAGCATATAAATCATGAATTTTGGTAAGCAATTTGTAAAGAACAACAAAATACTAATTCTTAGCTATAGCTGCTTTCATTCTAGCATTTAATTTGACCAAATCATTCCAGACTGAAGTCTCTAATTTTTTTATGAGTAATGGTGAAAGACTTTGTGTCAGGTTTGAGGAGAATACCATCCCTACACATTTCCTACTAGTGTTCAAGCACCACAGTAAATCACATTCCTATAGATGGAAAAACAGGCATACATGCAAAGTCAAATGAAGATTCAGTTTCAATCTTATTTTTTCCCATCAATTATTCTGTACTATATGAGGGAATAGTTTTTCCTTTCCCTGTCTTTTGGAGACAGTGCCGTAGATGTAGTAAACTGACCTTCTGACTTACAGGGAAGCAGAGATGAGAGATTTCTTCTGTTCCTACAATGCCTAGCACAAAAGACTAAAGGTTCATGACCAGAGATAAAAGGAATGGTGTGTGTACGCATACTGAAAATCTCTCTCTCTCTCTCTCACACACACACAGAGTTTTTGAAGGTGTCAACATTTACAGGGAATGGGAATAAACACTGATTAGCACCTAAACTATTGGAAAGGGAAAAGAATCTGGGTTTCACTCTTAGTATTTGTTTAGGATGCTCAAAGTAACTTCTGTTCTTTTTCTAGCATGGAAAAACAGTAAGTTTAACCTCTATGATCCATTTGGGAAACTTTTGGAATTAAGGAAGTATGAAATGCAAGGGAGGTCCACATTCGGGCAAATTACAGTATTGGCTACACAGGTCAGGGTAGCATTTTTCTATGTCCAGCATCATCATGCCAAAAGAGCCCCACATTTCCTCCCCTTCCTGACTTCTACTGAGTTATTCCAGACATAGAAGCTTGATTAGCTAAAAAAAAAGACTTGTGACCTAGTCTACATTCTCCATTTTGCATCTCTGATGCAGAAACTCTGATGAGTTTCTACTGCTCAGATTCTCCACTGAAAGAAAAAAATCAGACAGAAGTCAGCATCCTCAGCATTTATCTTTAGATAACAACTTGAAGATCCTTACCTGAAAAGTCACCCTGAAAGTTCATGTTAGTCCAAAAAAGGCATACAGAAACTCACACAGGAAAAGATGAATTCTCAGCTGTGAGGTTCTTCATAAAAAGTTTCCATTTTCTTAACTTGCTCATGGGTACTGCAGGAATCATTTCACCTAGGAGATGCAGCAATTTTGTACCATTTATTTAACCTTAAGGATTAGGGTTCAGCAATCTCCACCTACCTCAATAATTTTGTCATTTGAAAAGCTGGGTCTAGATTGTATTGTCCATTGCTATGCGGATGGAGGGTGTTACTACTTCCATACATAACAGGTCCACTCATCACAACTATCTGCGATGAAGAAATGGGACTGCACACACACACACATGATCTGGTCTTTGGGATTCTCCGCAGATCTCTTTCTGCGTTTCCCTTTTATTCATACCCTTTTGTAAAAACGGCACCTGGTGGTGTCTCTTAGTTAACCAGAATTCCCAGGATCTTGCCAAACTGGTGTTTTGATTCCACACACTCACACTCGTATCACGTTGTGACTGTTCTCAGCTGCGGTCAAAGCCACGCAGACCATGCAGATCACAGAGCAGTGTTCCGCTTTGAGAACACAGCACTCTCTTCGTCAAAACACCACTCAAGGTCCGCCCTGCTTTTTTGATTCTAATTAAATGAACGCAGGTGCAGGCTGACTCAGCTTGTTCCCACAAGAACCTTCCAGCCATCCAAAAAATCTAGATGAACATACACTTCATCCAGTAGCAACATTCTAAGAGCAATTTTGAGCCGGTTCCTCCTATACACGCTGTTTAACAACAAAAAGGTAAGGTTTTGTGACAAGGATATGAGGCTAAGACAGGTTATGACTGTTACACTGATTACCTGCAAATGCTTGAAAATATACCAAAAGGTCAGTGTTACTTTACATTTTAAAAAAGCGGTTTATTTTTATTTTTTTATATTTTCCTTTAGCAGTTAATGTTTCACATACTGAATTAACCAACTTCAGGATTTCTGAAGAACCCTGGAACACCATATGGTTTGTCTTTCAAACAAGCAAAGCTGACTGAAAAGAAGAAGATTATTCTTTGGAGACCTTGAAAAATAGCCAGAAAATTAATCTCCGAACTAAGCATTTTTAGCACAGGAAATGCCAAGATCTAAGGGTTTATTGCAATAATTAAACATGAATTTAAGTTTGCTCTGTCATGTTTTTTTTAAAGTTGTAGTAGGCTGAACAAGTATATCTAGAACCAAAAAACTGGCAGGTTATATCAAATGAAATAAAATATTCCCTGTTGACACCTATGGCAGCAAGCATATACAAAAACAATATCTGATATTTTTAACAATTCAAAGTGAAAACCAGGTATTTTATTTTATTTTATTAATTAGCTGGCCATCTTTACAGGTCCACAGCAGAAGAGAATCACCGTACAACTCAATGAACTCCAAAATTAAACAAAGAAAGCAAAATTTTAATTATGCTACATTAGAAAAAAAAAAACAAACCAACTTCTGCTTTTTGATTACATATAACAAGAAATAAATTTTAAGTGCTTCTGGAGATGATGATGAGATAAAGATGAGGACACTTTTACAGATGTTTTGAAACTTACTTTACTTTTTTGATTTATAGATAATCTATCCATAGTTAAGGGACTAACCATTACATTTTGTCCTACAAACTACTAAAACCAAACACTAGCCAGCAGTTTAAATAACATAAGAAAGAGCTGCATCTCTTTAACAGCTGCAGAACTCAGGACAGAGGCAGTAAAATATAAAAAAAAATACAAGAGTTAAAAATCCTACTGCAAGAATATCAACTGTAATAAAAGAGAAGACATTAAAACCAGCAGCTAGTTAGGTGCCAGGACATAATAGAACCCATAAGGACAGGCAAAGAATGATGCTAAGTTAGGAAGAAAGAGTCTGTTTTCAGAGAACTTCCTGACAGACACCACAACAAAGCAACATGAATGGTGACTGTGTGGTCCCCTTCTCGTAAATAAATCAGGCGTCAAAGGTTGATCTGCAGTTAATAAGAGGCCTAAGCCTTCTCCAAGGATTTGTAGTATTCTGTCAGCACGGTCCAAGCCTTAGGAGCCATGAAGCCTTCCGGCGGGTTTTGTCCTTCCCGAGCCAGCTTGCGCATGCGAGTCCCCGATATAAAGTCAAAGTCTTCATGGCTGAGAGAGAAGGAGTGGGGGTAAAAGGAGGGGGGGGAAAAAAGAACATACTTTTTAAAAGCAGGTAGAGTTGCTCATATTCCTTCTGCTTTCTTGATACTTTATACATTTCTTCTTGGGAGTATAATGCTGAATAGCAACTATAATTTCCAGACATTTGCCCAGCACTGCCAGTAAGTCCCAAGAATATACAACCCCTACAATATTCAGTGTAGGTAACTCCTGAGGTTTTAGAAGCACGGCCCAACTGAACTACTGTGGATTGAATTCAGTCTGTGCTGCCATTGAGCCTGGCTTGTTCTCTGTGAGGAAACAGAACTCCTGCTGAGGGAGAACCATCTACTCTACCTACTGTCTCAGCCCTTCGTCAAAGCAATAGCAGCCATCCTGTTTTGAACCTTGCCTTGCCATGGCAGGAGACCAGCTCTATGAGCTGGTTGAATGCTCCTGTGCTGGTTGAAGAAAGCCATTTCAGTGCCACCACAGAATGTGTAAAAAACAAGATTGCACCAAGTCTTAGTGAGGGGTCATTTGCAGAACACAGAAAGCGAAAGACTCAGAATCTAGGGGCAAGCTCCACAACTGGGCCATTGCAAGACACTGAGCACAGATATACATACATATACATATCAATAACGTGGCACACACAGTTCAAAATAAAGAAAAAAGCATGGGAATAATAAAGATACCTTCCCGTAAAGATGTTTCTCCCTAAAAATCAGAATTCAGTTGGACAAATGTATAAATGAACACAGATCAGAATTGTTTACCACTGTTAACAATAAGAATCTAAATCATTAACTTCTCAGCTATGTGGTCATAAGCAGCAAAAGCTCCACAAGTTAAATTACTCCTCACAGGACTGAGACAGTACAAGCAAGACAAGAATGCCAGAGTTCTATCAAAAGCTCCAAAGGAAAAAATTATGTATTCCTAAATTAAATACCAATTTTACTTACGCCATTCACTCAATTTGCAGCATGTATGCATTACTCATTCTTTACTTGTCTGTTTGAAATAAAACCCAAGTATTGATCTCAGATGCACATGCCTTAGACAGAAACAAGAGCCAAGTGTGCATATCAGAGGGCAGAACTTGGCTCTAAGTGTTGGTCTACACTCAGTAGGGTATGGGAGTTAGCAAGATGCAGAAAGCATTCCACAGTTCCCTCTCAGAACACCACTAGCCCCATAACTTTTTGATTTGGATTGTATGCCCTTCCATACATGTTCTTTTCTTGTTGCTTTCAATTTGGGACTGCAGGTTCCTGAAGTGTCACAACAAGGCAAAAAATCCCTACTGTACTTCACTTCTGCAAAATATAAATTACATAAAAATGAAAACTTAAGGTTGATGTAATTCCATGGGAGAACAAGTTGTCACTGCTATTTATAACATCGGAAAATTTTGTTCCTTAGCAGAGAGGTGTCTACCCTTCACTAACACTGCCTGAAGGTAACTTGTGTTCTCTGCAAAGAACTATTTCTATAAAATATATATGGGGAAGTGATAAGCCTGGCTAATTCTGTCAAAAAAATACCAAGTCTTCAAATGATCTGTAAAAGAAGAGTAAGGTAAGTGCTATAAAGTTTCTCCATGTGTGGTTTTCTCCTCAGTGTGGTAGCAATACCAAAATTTGAGCATTAAAAAAACAAAAAGGTGCTTTATACCGTCCTTGTCTGGTAAGTCTTCAGAAAACCACTCAACTTCCTTTGGTGCCCTACAAGTGAAATAAAGTACTAAAGCACTGAAGTTAGATAAGTCCTGTAAGTTTGCTTCAATAGACAGTCAATAAGACAATTCCTTTAGTCGCTTCCTACTCCTAGTAATACAAAAACCAGCTAGGAATTTGAGATATCAAGAGAGAAACACTAAAAGAAGCTAAGGAGATCTGCAGAAATTATAAGAAAATGAAAGAAAAAAAAAAAGAGTGAGGACCATTTCAGAAATATAGTACATTCAGCACCTCATAACATTTCTAGAAATGTTTTCCAAAATACTATTAAAAAGTACAAAAATACTAATGATGCCCGCTTATTATCGCAAACTTCTATTTTGAATAGATTTTTCTTTATTTAAAAAAATTACTTTAATAGTCACTAAAGTGACTCGAATGGAGCTTTGGCAAAATATACTGTATGTATTTTCTGCCATTTTAAAAATTAAAGCATTTACAATTTTCCAGTTTAATCTTTGCTTTCATATATAAAACAGAGTATTTGAATAACCACTCAATGCTCATTGTCTTTACTAATGGTAAAAATCAAATCTCTTGAATATCAGAAACTGAGATTTCTGCTAAGCAGAAAAACCTTATCAGCACTGTCACCACTGTGGTGGGATGTGAACCACAAGCATTTTGAAATAAAACATATCAGTATGAGCAATTTGCTCTAGCAGAAAGAGAAGACAAAAAGAGTCATCAAGTAATTTTGTTCATAGTGAATTTTGAGGATATTAAGAGTTACTCTGTATAAGATGGATTTGAGTGGAACATGAGAGGGTGAAATATTTGACCGTTTAAGACACCATGAAACATACATGCCAAAGCCATACAAATTCCTTCCTCAAGTCAGATTTGAAATTACTCTCAATGAAATTTAATCCAAGCCTTTTCTGAGGATGGGATTTAAGTGTTTTTGAAATTTTTATTCAGCGGCTGCTGGAATTAATTTTCTTTGAGCCACACTGTATGCTAGTAAATTCTTGTAACACTGATTTGCCCTTTTACTACCAATTGAGTTTGAATAGTACTGACATAAGACTTTGTGCCAATGCAATTAAAAGCATTCTCCAAAAGAAAGAGGTAAGGAAGGCAGAAAGAAATCCACAAAAAAATTTGTCAACAGCAAAACAGTCCTGAAACATACTACCCTGAGGACTGGTACTTACTCCCTGCCATAGCATCCTAGAACTCTACTACACTCAGTGTGGAAAAAGCCTTACTCTTACACTGAAATTTCCTCTCTTGTGGAGGACAGGATGTCATGGGTAAAGTAGAAAATACATAAGTCTGCTGAGCTCTCACACATCTAGCAACAGGAGAAAAGGAATCTTTTCTTACACTTCAGATTGTGCCTTCCTTCCATACAGACAGTATCCATATAGACAGCCACAGGTGCACAAGATAGTGTTTTATATTTGGACAGCAGTAAGGCATTTGTTCAAAATAACATAGGAACAAACTCGTGCTGTTAAATAATCTTCAAACTGTTCACAGTAACTGAGCATTGGGTTCAAAGAACACTACAAACCACATAGAGAAGATTAAGACTTCATAGGCCAATTCTTTCCTTTCTTCCATTTACAAAGACTAATGTTTTAATCTCTTAAATGTATTTCCCTTTTACAAGTGACCCCAGCAACCATCAGAGCTCTTAATGCTTTACGAGCTCAAACACTCTTATGAGTAGTGTGTGAGGCTAAGATTTCAGACACCTCACAGTTCTTGTAACAAAATGAAAATATCACCAATTTGCAAGTGGGAAACGACTGCATGAAGATGTCCACAGTCCTACAGGAAAGCTTCTCTGCTGTACCTCTGAGGTGTCAATACAGTGACCGAAGGGAATATTTTTTCCACTTCAACATTATGACCTACAGGTTTAATCTAAATATAGAACGTATTACGTAATAGGTTTTTCATTTGGGAGCACTAAAGATCAGCTGTAATCTTGGGAACCCTGACCTTCTGCTAGAGTTTCAGCACTGTTCAAATGACCTTCTTGGAATTCCTGTTTTCCGTGGTGTCTAGTGCTCTCAAGGTCTTAAGTAATTACTCTTAAATACAAGATACATGATAAAAGTGCAGACCATTCATTCATAGTTTTGCCTATGGATTAATTTCTTTTAACAAACATATGGAAATAAAACAGTAATATGATTCATTCACCCTGGTCTGGCTTCAAGACAACTGTTATCTTCTACTCAGCTGGTAAATTTCAGATCTGATAAATTCCTGGGACAATGCACTGCCTCCTTATCTGGGGTCCAATTCTAACCTTAAACCCTTTTTAGAATTATTTTCTCTGAATTTAAATTTGCCTTTGTAGCATCAACTCATAAATTATGCCACAACTCCTACAGGAACAGTCTTTAATATGTCAGTCCATGTTATGCCTTGGGAATGAATGCCCCATGATGCTGAATGAACCTGAAAGTGCCAGCAAGGTTCAAATCCCATGAACAAAGCTTCAAATCATTATGAACAAACTCCTTATGAAATTAGAACACGATATTGTGATTAATATCAACATTTGCAAACCAAATCCTTTACCTGCGGTGAACGGAATTCCTTTCTGACTGGCAGGAGGGTTTAAGTCTTCTGAGTTTCTGCAGTGTTTCAGTGTATCCTAAATAAAGTACTAATGGTAATTGAGTAACCCCATTTCACATAACTTAATCAAGGAGAATAGCCAAGTGTGCTTATCTCAGCCTCCCACTATCACTTTAAAAACCAAACAAATTTGAGAACAATATGTACTTAGTTGGAGCAGCTGTCCTGTAAGTATAATTTGATAGTATTAAAGCACTCACAGCAACCATATTAAAGGTCCTGAGAATAGACCATATAAAGTTAAAATCTCTTTTCTTCACAGATATCCATGCTTCATCCACATTTTACAGAGAGCATGAACAATCTGCTCCAGTCACCTTACTTATGGATGTCTTTTAGCCAAAATGTTCTCTTCAGTTCTCTTTCAGGGGAAAAAAAAAAAAGTGAAAGTTTATTTCCAGACACTTCTGTGGCTTTTTTAATTGCCAGACTAATTTCCTTTCTTAATTGAGTTTTTTCTCAGCAGTAGTCTGTGGCTGCATTTTATAGGGCTGATCTTCTGTAAAGAATTGGGAATTTCTGCTCACAAAACCAGCTACTATTATTAAACCACCAATCCCAAATTACACTTGTTTGTGGTAACTGTGAGGCCTTTTTGGCTGAGGAAACACACTAACTGTTTTTCTCAAAGGATTTCAGCATTGGGTAGGGATTTTTGGGGGAGTGGGGGTATTATTTGTTGGTTGCTTGGTTCTTTCATTGTTGTCTTTACACTTCACTCTATCAGCAGTTTACAGGTCAGACACTCTTTTGGAATTTTTCCATTATAACTTGAATTCTTCCTATAAACTTTTCCAAATCATGTTTGGACATATTCAGTTATAGATCCAAAATTCTATGAAATATAAAACTGTAAAAACTTGGATAAGGACTGTAACAATATTCATACTAGTTTTTATATGCATTGCTTCTTCAGAATTCTATGCAAGTAGAAATGCTCAAGCTTTCCACAGAAACAGATTAAGCTTGCTAACTGATTTCAGCAAGAGCAAAAAGGGCAATTATTTTTTTTTATTATCATCATTTAGGCCAAGGGGAAATAAAGTGAAATAATCTCTACCTGTGCTGCTATACATCACTTCAAATGCATTCCTCAAATCCCTTTCCTAGATCTTAGATTTTTTTCAAAAATATGTTTTGAGATTTCAGTTTCATGAGGTGCTAAACCTAGTTCTGAGATGTCCAAGAAACAAATTAAAACTTGTGCTGGCTTCATGAGGTAAAATACAAATACGATTTCAAGTCCCTGGTTGTTCACATGTCCTCACATTCTAAAGAATAACTTTGTTTAAACAATTTACACAGGTTAAGTTTTGTGCATCACTTTGCAAATACAATTGCTGTGCAGCTACTACAAAGGCTTTTACATCAGTCTTTTCTTACTCCCTTTCCTCACACTCACTGCTCCATGATTATTCCTGAATGCAACCAGGATGTTTCCGCCTTTCCTTACTAACAGGGGCACATGTAGATACACCTTCTTCCAAGTGACTTCAGCTCAAACACAGCACCACAGCAGGGCAGCATGAGGTCCTGACACAAAAATTAAACAGTCATGTTCTCCAGACTGTATCCAAGCAGATACTGGGTCTACTGAGACTCCAAGGACAGCCCACACTCTGGAGGATACTAGTGGAATGAGAAACAAACTGAACTTTAAGATGAACTCCACTAAACTGCACTTGTATGGACACCTCTGGGAGCTGGAGGCCTTAAGCACAACAATCTCATGGAATCAAGGCAGCACACCAGAGAAATTAAGGGCCTTTGTTACCAATTTGGAGGCAGGGCGCAGTGTAGGCTTTTTGGTGCTTCCCAGGCTTGCCACCAAGGTCATGAGCAGCTCATCCACAGCAAGTTATCACGCACAGTATCTTCTGGTATGCAGCTGGCCAGTGCCAACCCAGCATCTGAGCACCTACCACCACAGGCATACAAGGAACACTATCAGCAAGTGTTACATCTTCCTCATTAAGGCTGAGCATGAATGTTTAGAGGTGTTACAAGCAAAGCAACTCCGCCCCTACTAATTCTGCAGCCCCAACTATTCAGACATCCTTCTGGCAGTTGGACCAGAGCTTTGGGTAACCTCTCAGCACTAGCCAAAGATTCATCCTCCACCATCCCTATGGCTTGGGATTGCCTTCAGAAACAGAAAGGTAACTCACTAATATCAGCAAAGAGCCCAACTGCAATAACCTCTGCATGTCTTTGCTGCCAAGCCAGGTGTGGTGCAACTCATTACAGAGCTGCTCAAGATAGCAGATGGTGCTCTCAAATGCACCTTCCCAAATGGAGGAGTGTAGGGGACCTGAAAGAACAGATGACCACATGGCGAAAGAGTAACTACATCCAGCAGCTAAGACACACAGCTCAGCTATAGCTCAGTCCAAGAGAAACCCACTTGCCATAACCTTTCATACATTCATTAGTGATGTAAATTCTGGAACTGCTTAGTTGGCTGTCAAGCCTCAAAGAATTGAGAAAGGTGCAATAGAAATCAAATTACCCATTTCTAAAACAAGTTACAGCAATGCTTCTGTGCATACAACCTTCTCCCCCAAATTTTCAAGCTGCCTTTTTCACCAGCTAAGTGGTGAGCTCAGGAAGTATTTCCACAAACATCACTATTTCACATCTAAGGGTCTTCCACCAGTACTGATCCTTTCATATTTCCAGGCAATCCTCCCTTCCCTGCCATCCTCCTTACAGAGTCAAACATCACATGGTTCAGGACTCTGCCACATTTTCAGCATTACACAGATTATCTTGAAACACAGCCAGCTGCACCCACCCAAGCTCTAACTGTCTGGACCCTACCACAGTGCTCTGTCTCTGGCAAGCAGAAGCAGTAATGGCTCTCTTTCCAGGGAGTCTGCATGTGTCCACATTGCCATCTAGAGGATTGCTGCCACACTCCAGTCCATCTACCAACAGTGTGTAGGGTACGACGGAACAGGATAAATTCATAGAATCATAGAATCATAGAATAGATTGGGTTGGAAAAGACCTCCAAGATCATCAAGTCCAACCCCTGATCCAACTCTAATTACTATATCATGGCACTAAGGGCCATGTCCAATCTCTTTTTAAAAACTTCCAGGGATGGTGAATCCACCACCTCTCTGGGCAGGCCATTCCAATACCTGATCACCCTCTCTGTAAAGAATTTCTTCCTAACATCTAACCTAAACTTCCCCTGCAGCAGAAGGGCAGAACTGCACACTGGTAGCACCATGGTCTATTTTGCGTAACAGCTACAGAAACAGGGGAAAAAAATGTCCAAACCAAGGCCTCACAGATGCAGTGAAAGGATAAAAGTGTGCACACAATGCAGACTGAAAACCCTGGGACACACAATGGTCTTAGGGCATCATTTTGCATTCTTATTTAACAGAGAAAATAGCTATTTGTCAGCCCCTCTTATCCACTTTCTTCTCCATGATGCACACTCTTATTACTTTTCTTCCCTGATATTTGATGCATACCTGACACGTGAGAAGCATATTTAGAAAGATAAAGCAGCAGAAAGCTTATCTTAACATTATAATAAATAGTAATATTTTTCTCTGGATTTAGCAATCTGTGCCACTGTGTTCCAGAATTAGAGAAACCCCAGTACCTAGGAGAGGTGAGCCTTGATGTGTCAGCTAAAGTTAGATCAGGTAGTTGCACTGTGAAGTAAATCATGCTGCAATCAAGCTGCATTAGTGATCTAAAACCACATCCAAACACTGCCATGTTTGAACAATATGAAATTAGTTATAAACAATTTTTTTTTATGTTGGCAGGGGGTAAAAGGCAGCTGTTGCTCAAAATTTTCTTAAGATGAAAATATAACTTACTGATCAGAGTCATAATAATCCATGGATTTCTTTTTTTTGTTATAAGCTGCAACCCTGAAGGGTACAATTTCCAGCGCTCGGAGGCCTGGAGCCATTGTCAACACTTTGGCACCGTGAGTCGGTTCATACAGATCTTTCCCAGTGTCAGGATGTGGCATCCCTGCTGGATCTCGCCCTACAATGTAGAAGTTAGCTCCTGCAACCATCCGTGCTCTGCAGTGCCACTGAACCTAAAACAGAGACAAGGGAAAACAGTTAACAGAAGAAAATGCTCAAAATATGACACTGACAACGTGCTGTATGATTCAAAATGAGTGGTTTCATAACTAACAACTTGGGGTTTACCTTTTTTTCTTATAGTTCAGTTACTACTGAAGGTAAAAAAAAATATATTTCAAAGGAAGTTCTGCACATGGACTACTGAATCATCATCACCCTACAATCAAAGAAAAGCTTTTAAATTATTTAGAAATGCATCTCTTTTACTGACTATGGTGAAAGGATTTTTTTATCCTCAAGACTGTTTGAAGTATTTACTAGATACAACTGTTAGAGATGTTACACTTACAGCAGTTTTTAGACTTACCATGTCACAGGATGTTGTGGAATTTTCTTAATTATTTATATATGTAATATTTTCAATACCAAATTTAACTGTACAGTACAGGAAAAGCAAAATAACTATTACATTATCTTAGGTAAGACTCAACTTTGGAAGATGTCAATATGCTCTCATACTGGGAAGTATTCCCCTATAAGAAATGTCATACCATCTACATGACTTAGTATCTGCCAAAGAATACTCAGAGAAGAGTTTTAAAAACCAGCAAGTATATCAGTGGTTTTTTGTATGTGCAGCCCTACCCTTCACACACAACTGAAGGGCCTACCCACTAACTACATAATGTAAAACAGCTTCATAGTTGAATAATACTAAATATCTGTCAAAACATCTGGCAAGCACTAAAGCAGCTCTCTGGGCAATCTGTTCCAGTGTGAGATCACCTGCACAGGATGTTCATCCTCCTGTTCAGGTGGAACTCATGTGGGTCAGTTTCTGCCTGTTGCCTCTTGTCCTATTGCTTGGCACCACCAAGAGCCTGAATCCATCCTCTTGACACCCTCCCTTCAGACACTTGTAGGCATTGATGAGGTCCCCTCTCAGTTGTCTCTTTTCGAGCCTGAACAGGCCCAACTCCCTCAGCCTTTCCTCACAAGAGAGATGCTCCACTCCCCTCATCATCTTTGCTGCCCTCCACTGGACCTGCTCCAGGAGCTCCATGTCCCTCTTGTACTGAGGAGCCCAGAGCTGGACACAGCACTCCAGATGAGGCTTCACTAGGGCTGAGTAGAGGGGCAGGAGCATCTCCTTCAACCTGCTGGCAATGCTCTTCCTAATGCACTCCGGGATACCACTGGCCTTCTTGGCCACAAGGGCACTCTGCTCTTGTCCCATTTCTATACATCTATACTACTTCAGAATATATTTACTTTCCTAAGCAGGTGAATTTATTGCATTTTGATAAAGAACAGAACTGTTTCTTTTTTTCCAAAGCACTTATCAGGAATTCTAAAAAATAAAAAACCAAAAATGCTAAGTTGATGCTTCTGAAACATGTCCATTAAGATTTTTACAGATTGGAAAGCCACATCCACCCTGAAGATAAGCATATTAACAGCTGCTTGTTGTTCTGTAAAGCACTTGTGCTACAGAAACAGATCTAGTACCAATGTCTTTTAAGTGACCTATGGAAAATTATTAAATGAAGAATCTCTTTTATAACTTGAACAAACATTACTGTCAGAATGTATTCTGAAGTCACTGGAAATACCATGTAAGTGAAGAAAAAACTTCTGTTCAGAATAAGGATTGTGGATTTTGTTCCTTCTCAAGAACTGAGGAATGAAGTAGAAAGTCTCTGTTAATTCTCAGAAAAGGTCTGTGGGGAACTGCACAAGATTCCCCACAGTTACTCATATGCCTCAACTAGAGCTGGGTTGCAGGTTTCTCTTCTGAATGGAAAGGCAGTGCGAGCTCTGTTTGACCAGTCAACTGGCCAGCAGAAAATAAGTGACACCTTTAAGTGTCTAATTTAGACACCATAAGTGCCTAATTTAATTTCAATAAGTAAGATCTCCTATCTACCAAAAAGCTACCACAGAGTTAACGTCTGAGCCTGGTCAAAACTTGAACTTCTGTGACTCAAGGTGGAGAGGAGGGCAGAGAAAAAAAAAAAAAAAAAGAAAAAAAAGAGAACAAGATGGGGAATCAATATCTCCTAGAGGAATTGACCTCATGAGAACATTTATTCTTTCTGCTGTTTCCCACAAACCTCTAGGGATTCCAACCCAAGAGCCGGCTCCTAAATAAAGTGTTGCCAAGGAATTATTTCATACAAAAGCCTTGAAACGATTCTCCCTGAATTAAGTTTGCCAAAAAACAAAAAAAGACTTTTTTTTGCTTAATTTGTGTATAGCCCTCCAACATACAAACTTTTTGCTTAAGTCATAAAACTTAAGTACCTTAACATTGAGGACAACCATTTGTTATGTTAATAGATCTTATAAATCCTTTTGAAAAAGACTGTAAAAGAGGAAGGATTAATTTATTATTATACCCTTATAACTGTAAACCCAATATTTTCTCCCACCATTTCCAGCAAAATCCTCCAATGTAGAAGTTTTTTCATAAAAGAATGTTTCGGTTGATGACAGAAAGAGACTTGACAATTTGGTTTCCCAAGGAAAACGAGTCTCCTTTCTCTCCAACAAAAAAACCCACAAGACACAAACATCAGGCACAGCACTAAACACTTAAGTGCACTATCAAAAGGGTTTGGTTTTTGTTTTCAACTCTCGATGTATTCACCTCAGTTGGTCCAGCGTACATCATGGGGGAAGGGAATATAGCTACCACAGTTGTTTCTGGATTCAGGATTCCCTCCTCCAGCACTGCAGCGTGCTGCTTCATGCGCCACATCAGAGGAACATCATCCTCCTTTGTCCAGCCTCCAAGTGGATGCAGGAGCAAAACCGGGCGCCGGTAGCCACGTTCCAAAAGTTGCTTGTGAGTATCCTGCATTAAAAGAGCGTGGCCGTTGTGCACCGGGTTGCGTAACTGGAATGCAAAGACAGCATCTATGGAGGAAAAACAAGACAAAAGATATGAGAAAAGCAGGTTATTTTATCAGGAGTTGTACAACCACAGAAAAATCTTCGGTACAATATTTCCTCTGAAATCTATTAAACAAATATAGTAGCAGTAGTCACATGTCATTGAAGAATTACGAATTATTACAAAATCATCATTCTTAATAAGCAAAACTAGTAAAAAAACAACTATACAAAAAAAAAAAAAGAAATATTAATCAGCATCTTTAATTTAAGAAATTTCTGCAGAATTACTCTGGTTTCTCCAATAGCTACAATCTTCTATTTGGATGTTTTGCTTGCATATGCATATTATATTCTAGGAGGAAATCAAACTATGCTACCTGTCTTAAAGGCTCAATATATCATCAAGAGAACAAGCAGACGTGTTCGCAACAAAACAAATGAAAGGGGATTTAATGTTCCTTAATAAGTTCCCTTCACCTTAACAGCTTAGTAGATTTTACACACACTAAGAACAAAGCAAGACTAACTGCTTTTCCAGACTATTACAAACCCTTCAATGAAACCCCCCGACACAGCCAGGATTTCTCTCTTCTGCAGATTAGGATGAACTAAAGCACCCTGCAAACCAGCAGAATCACCATAGCTGAGAAGTTTTCCAAGAAGAAACCAACAAAATCTAAAGAACAGGTTTTTTTCAGGCATCAAATATGTATTTGTTTAAGGGTTAGCTAAAACAGAGGCTGGCATCTCAGACCTATTGATCCTGGAAATACTGGCCACACTGAACAAAGACAGGGGCTCAGAACAGATACGTTCAACCATACCTTTATAGTTTTTGCCTAACATGATAATATTTATATCATATTCTACCACATATTAACATTATATTTTCTTGTATCAGTGACATGTCTAGAGTGCATGGGAAGATAAAATTAAGAACCTTGGGCATTAGCAGCTTCTATTATGTATTTAGGTAATGCAGTGCCTGAGATTATAAAAATTATTACCAGTAAAAAGCAAAGAATGCCACCTAAGAGAGTATTCAAAATTTTCATCCTTGGAACAATGTTAGTCTCAGTGGTGGCAGCAGACACTTGGATAAGTCTCTGCAGGAAGAAACAAAATAAAATAAATTTACTCACCAGCATTCATTTCCTTGAATTTCTGCCTTAGTTCAGCTGGAGTGAGACGATATTGATCTAGTCCATCATTCCAATAGATACGATCAAGGACCTGCAGATCTCCACCAACAAGCCAGTTCCCTTGTTCCATAACCATCTAAGAAAAGAAAGGAAATTCCTTGTTAGTTAATTGTCAGCTTCTCCTGAGCATCTACAACATTGCAATAGAGAACACATCTTTACCAAAGAACTGTTCCAGGTTAATTTTATTTGACAGTTGCAAGTCAAGCATCAATATTAAAAAAAAAAATTAAAAAGTAACAGGAACATAGTCCAGACATGTAGAGAAATACACAAATCTTCAGTAGGCACACGCCTTTCTTTCAAAATTAAGCATTTTTTTAATATATAGAAATGCAAATAACCAGTATTCTTAACCAACATTATTACATAACAAAGATAGTGTCTGCAAAGCCTTATATATTACATTAATATAACAGCAGTAGTCACAGGTCATTGAAGAATTATAAATTTTCAGAAAATCATTGTACTTAATAAACAAAACTAATAAAAAAACAACCATATCAAAAAAAAAAAAACAAACCCACAACACGTTAATTTTTGAAATTTCTGCAGAATTACTCTGGTTTCTCCAATTACAAAAATTACAACTTATTTAGTTACAATTTTTTCTTATTTAATTACAAGATATTAATACAATGAAGTTGACACACTTTATGGTCAAAGCAAATACAGCTGCAATATCAGCCTTGTAATTCACGAGATTCTCGTCAGCAATTAAGTAACAGGTAAACAGTTCTGATTAACTATTCACCCACTTTAACTCTGGAATAAAATCAGAATCTTGGAAGTAATATAGCTTTTGGATTTGTTTCATGGTAGCACTTTACGGAAGCAACATATGTTGTACACTCACTATAATTCTTTTTATATCTTTAAATATCACCTCATCCTTTATCAAAAACTAATTATGGCAAGCTGATTAAGATACTCTAGCAATGGCCTCAGAAAATTTCTGAGGATGTATTTGCTTTTGAAGATGGAGCCACAAAAACATTCAAGTTTCATACACATTTCTGATTAATTTTTTAGCCTTATGTAATTTAAAGATGACAACAAATGGTGATATAGCAGAAGTCACTACATACTACACGCAGAAAAATTAAGAGTGGATTTCTTCTTATCTGGTTTTAAGACATACTTGTAAACAAAAAGATACTACAGAGAAAGAGTGGGGAAAGAAACACACGTTGGCTCTGCAGAGCTAAGATGCAACATTCCCATCAGCTTGCATAACCAAACACAGCACTGTGATGAGTACGTTACAATTAGAATATTTTGGTATGACACACACAGAAGGTCAAGATTAAAAAAACATAACGAACACAACAGAGAGGAAATTACTCCCCAGAGAGTTAAATTATGAACTCTCCAGGAACAGGGCCTGTTTCAAAAACATCTAAACTAGGCAGGTCTCACGTGCTCCCCATGCAGGCAGAATAGAAATTTTCTATCCTTCACAACACATATATCTGATGATTAAGGAGCTTTGATGATCCATCTGGCTACACAAAGGGATGTGTTTCCTAGGCACACTGGAGGGCAAAGTTCCTTCTTCTGTAGCACAGATTCTACAGTACATTCTAAATTCATTTCATCTGTACATATTGACATTAGATTTTCACACTAAGTGCAGACTATTCAACAGCTGCATAGAAAAAAAAACCAAGACCTCTGTTCCTGCTAAAATATTTTAATTAATTTTCAAAGTAGTTTTGATGTCAAAGTGCATCAGTCACAGACACGAGCTTCACTTAATTTGCAGCTCCACAACAGTACAGCTCACAGGAGCAGATTTTCAGCTTTTAAACACACACCTTGATATAGGGATGTTCCTTGCACGTCGTTCCCCATTGCCTAGCACAACGTTCCTCTTTCCTGTGCTCGTAGAATTCGGGATTACGGAGAATGGCAACACGGCAACCTTCATACACCAGCGCAATTGCTGTACACCCATCGAGTCTTTCTTTGTCTTCTTGAGTAGCTGTTAGCACTATAGGCACTGACAGATTAATAACTCCCCCTGCAGAGTCAAAAAAAAAAACCTTACCCTTAGTAATGGTTACCAATGATATTACAAAAATATACCCAATCTAACAGGTTAATTTTAAGACTGTAAGTGTATCACACAACAGGCAGTTCAAGCACTTATTTTAACATGGGCTAAAAGCAATGGATAGAATGAACTCTTGTATAAGAAACATGTGCTGTAAAATCGAGCAAACACGGAGGTCTGGGAAAGAGCAAACACACTACTGAAAATAGCAGGTATTTATAGCTGCACACAAGTATTTAGACTTTAAGGATACTACTTGTTGGGAATCTCAAATTAATATCTTGCTCAAGAATCTATACAGAAAGTAGAAATATATAAATAAAATTTTTAAATAGATCATCTAAATTATTAGGCAAGATTGCTAAGTGGATAATTAGTAAAAAGGAAATAGCATACTCAGTAGTCACACTTTTGGTCCATAAGAAAAATTCAGTGTGATAGAAGCAGACAAACGTACCCGAGTAGTTGGCATACATAATTCAACTATTTCAAGAGGTGGCTTTTGCTGCTTACTTAGAACTGTACTCAGAGTCAAGCACATATATCTCAGAAAAAAGCCTTTCAAGTCAGGTAAATACTTTGCAGAGTTTGTTCAGCTGAAAGCTTACCAGTTCCTTTACTTCTAAAACTAAGCCAATGTATCTGAATTTTAAGGTTATGTGTCATCCTCATTTTTAAGCACCTACTTCACTACCAGATGCTGGAAGTCTTGTTTTTCTTGACTACATGAGTGAGATTTGAGAAACCCAGTGGAGTAATTACTGTAAGTCTTGTATGAAGGCTTGAACTCTAATGAGCATAGACTTGTCGAATGAGTGCAAAACTTTTGGGTGGCCTCCAGGAGAAAAATCATAGACCCCTTAAAAGTAACGGAGGTTTTGCTGTTTGCCAAGACTCTAAATAAGGCTAATTTCACTATTATTTAAGCAATGCATATTTTACAGGGAAATTAAACTTGTTAGGAAATAAAAAATTACGAAGCTGGATGAAAAGTTTAAGAGAAAAATAGATCCCTCTTCATTCATAATGCAAAATGCATAATGCAAGCTCTGCTCCTCCTAAGTTAAGTCTTGCTGCTCAGAGTGACTTTCAAAGCAACTAGGTCAAAAAATTGAGTTTGGTAGCAGCCACAGAGAAAGTAGTTTGACACCCAAAAATTGATAATTAAAAAAACCCTTTTGCTTTGCAAACAAGTAAATAAATATTTAAAACTAGGAAAATATCTCAAACCTGGTGATTGTTGAATTTCTGTCCGTGACCAGTAACAAATGCATAATACCTCTTACATTTTGCTTCATCCACTGTACAAATAAGAAACTGAGGCAAGGTAACGAAGTGAGTTTAAGTCACAGATGAGCACAGGTTCAGGATGAGACTTTTTCACGTAACCTAAGATTTAAAAGTTTGTTTCCCCTGGATGGACGTACAGAAGGCAAATGGAATGAAAACAAAACTAGCAGTCCAAAATGACACTGCAGACTTTAGATCCAAAATAACAGGATGACATTATGCTGCCTAGGAGAGCATCTGAGAGACCTACAGAAAAGGGCATTAGAAAAATACAGGAGGGACAACAGACATTTGTATCACAGAACTGAAAGACAAGTGACGTTTTTTTCTGCTACTTGGTCTCTAGCAAGAGAAGACTAATGCAAAAGAAAGCATGGAGATAGGAAGAAGGTTGGAGTAAAACAGAGCCTTCAAAGAGGAATAAATGCAAATTGACAGAGGATCACAATCAAATTCCAAAACATGAGAATGTTATCACTTATTCACTACCTTAACTAATGCTTGTTCTTAGTCAACTGGTAATGTAAAATAAAAAATATTCATTTAAATCATCAAAGGATAATTACTAAGTCACGGTAATTCAATTATTTGTGACAATTGGTCATACTCAAAGTTACATCCTCAAATTCTGATTTCATACTTGCAACAGCTCCAGTACACTAGTCAGTTTTTGTTGTCCTCTCTGTCTTTACTAATACAGAACAAATCTTTTGGCACACAGAGCTAAACAGCAATTAAATTGCAATTCTAAGTTCTAAAATCAATTTCTTCAAAACAAATTAGAAATGTGAATTTTAGAATTAAATGCTTTTCCTAAATGAAAACATTTGAAAAAGTAGAATTTGTAAAGCCAAAAAGACAAAACATTCATATTCTAACACAATGGTAGCTATAAAAAGAATAAAACCATCAAGTTTAAAACTGATTATTACAATATTCTATTCTCTTACCCCAGATCCCAGTTTGTGCACAAGCCTGAAATTGTGTTACCCCCCCACCACTGAGAAGCAAAGCATGAACAATATTTTAGAGGTAGGATTAGTTTGCTGGATTTTACAAATGGTGTGTTTTACCCTACCATCAAGGAGACAGTCAAAGTGAAGGCACTGTAGGTATTCTCTCTCTCTCATAAAGCCATTCAGGGGTGTTGCCCAACCTTCTGCTAGCACTTGCACCCACTGCATATCCACCTTGTAAAGAAATGGAGATACAAATTTATAGCAGGTAAAAGCTATTACATAATTACTGACAGGTAATAATCACAGTCATATATAAATCATAATAGATCGTTATTTAATTCTAAAATGCAGGACAGTATAAATCCAAGATTTCTCAGTATTTCAGTTTTTAATCACAAATAATTCAAAGTTTCTATATGTAAGGTAAAAAAGAACACCTTGCTCCTCACTGTACACATTTTTGGCTATTTCCAGTCTTACATTGGATCAAATTTCCATCTGTTAAAAACAAACTAACAAACACAAACCAACAAACTTTATTTGTAAACGTTTGATAAAGTTCATCTTCACAAAATTAGAGAGTCCCACTTGCCTTTATTTTTTTAACAAAGATAACCAAAAGGTTAAAAAAAAAAAAAAGAAACAGAGAAAACCACATACAGTTACCACAAAAATATCAGAATTATGGGTGTGAATATTAAGACATCTAATCTTAAAACAAATTAGAAAGACTTTTTTTTTGCATAAATTAGTGATACAATGCAGAAGTAAAATTATCTCTGGACTAGTACTTCATCTAGTTTAACGAAATATCAGCTTACAGAGAGTTTCCTTCCTTAGCACTTAAACAGTCACACTACAACTTAGTGTGTGGCCTCTATTATTTCTGCATTACTGAGACTTGGTCAGGTCTTTGACAAGGACAGACTTTGCTTGTGCAAGTCTCTTTTGCAAAGAGCATGACTGATTTTATTACACTGTTTAATTTATGCTGAGGCAAGTACAAAACACAGTTTCTTCCCAAGTTTATGTTATATACTTGCTTGATATTTAACAAGACACTGGTTGGGGGTGGAGGGAGAAATTATATGTTTCTCTAGAGAGGGAGCAATTCAGAATGGGACACTACAGAAATTTAATAATGGTGACCTTAAGTATTTATTGCTCATCAAAGCAATGAATAGTTTTACAGACACATATATGAAAAGGATCTCATAAAATGCAGTGAAAGGAAGCATTAATATTTAGTAGTAGTAGAAGACTGGGCAAATTTTAAAACTATTTACTTCAGTGCTTAGTATGTCATCTCAATCCTCCAAAGTCTAATCGCTGCAAATGCTCAGCTCTGAGCTTAGTCACCTCCTAGAACAAATATTTAGCTTTAAGTTCTGGTAATACTGTCAAAAAGCCAATATAAAAACTCATGCAATGTATCTGTGTTAAGGCTTAGCTCTTCAAAAAAAGGAACGAGGTAGAACAGAAACACAACCCGAAGCAGCTTCATCAAATTTATCCAAATTGAAAAACAATGCATTTAACCAAAAAAAGAGCAGGGTTGATCAAGCTGATCCATGCTTTTCCACATTCTCTCTACTGGAAACCAGAAAAGGAGTATGAACACATTCTAATCATAAAAAAGCAGTAAAATAGATCTGATCATCTCTCTATAGATTTGAGTTTGCAATTATTTGAGCTCAGTTTATATCTAAAAGGTTACTGTTGTTCATCTGAAGATTACCAACAAGAAGAATCAAGAAGCAGTAACTGATTTCCTTCATATTTCTAGGCAATTACAATTCAAAATAAAATGGTTTCTCTAAGTAAACTGTAAAAAAAAAAAAAAGAGTTAGCAATCCTTCTACCAGAAACAACTATTCATACAAGACATGCCAGGCATAGTTTGGTCCACGGATGAGGGGGGGTGTGGAAGGAAGTCACTCTAAATTTAATCTCTGAGGTTGGGATAAACTAAGTAACATTATACTTAGATATTATTCATGAAATTATGCTTGCTCTCAAGAAAAGAGGGAAAAGGTATATCAAGATATATTCTGTAAACAGCACAGGTATTTCAACTATATCTACTTACACTAAGCAGCAGATTAGATTGTCTTTCAACTTTGGCAATAAGACAACTGAACACAATACCTTATTTATTTCCAAGGTCAACAGAGACTCAGCATCTGTTTTGGCCAACTGTAGCTTGTTTTCTGGCACATAAAGCTCTTTCACCTCGTAAGAGGCATCCACTGGTACAATGTCCTGTACAAAATGAATAAACAAAACTTAATGTTTGCTCAGAATGTTTCTTGGACAATGATCAAGAAGTAAAATTCTAATGATGCACTAGACAGTAGCAAGAGTTCATACATTATGCAATTTTTACTCATTTAAAAGTCAGCGCTGTTCCAAGATTATGATACATAACTAGTTACACAAGCCAGCAGATTGGCTAAAGTAAAAAATTCTGACAAGAGATTTTTTTCTAAACCTTAAGTAACCAGTATAACATTTACCTAGTACATATTTAACTACTGGATTAAGTGCCATTTTTATGACTTATTAATGCCTAAATTATCTACAACAGAAAGGAAGACTATCCTTTCATACACGCTGAAGAGGTAAAAAAAGATTCAGAGACTGAATATTTAAATATTTAAGTCATTCACTATACAAGATACATTAGATAAGGTAACTTGAAGTTAAAAAAAGTAAAGCCCCTTCTCAAAAGAAAATTATTAATACAGAAATATAAATTGAATGTATTTCCTACAGCTAATGATAACCCCAGTATTCTAACCTATATACTAACACTTAGAATATTTAAGTGTGAGGCTATCTGTGCATATATATGCAATATATATGTATAGTTTTATAACCATAATATCAATTTATTTTTAAAAAATCAGTTTTCCTCCATGTGTATTAAACAAGACATTCTTGCTCCACAGTGCTCAAAACTCAAGACCTTATGTTCTCATAAGATATGAACACAAGGACAAAAATATAATTAAAAAAAGGAGAAGGACATCATGATAAAACTGTAAAGAGTCTCCTCCCAACAACAGATGCTGTAATATGTCAAAACTGAGTCAAATGTTCCAGTGATGTTCAGTAGCAAAAAATGAGTGAAAAGAGGCTGATGGTTCTTTTTAAAACACATTTTTCAGTGTTTTGGAAACCTTTGTAAAGTAATATTTTACTTTCTGAGAAAAAAACCTCACCCTTACAGGAGAGTATATAACAACCCCTAAAAACACACCGTTATCTCAGGAATTTAATGTATGTATCAGATACCAGGCACTACTTCCATGGAAAGTAAAACAAAGGGAGTGGGATGATGAAAGCAAATGGGAGATAAAATGACTTGCAGGAGTAAAGAGATGTGGTAAGTCTCACTGGCTGTTAAATAATTCATATCTTCAAAGACAAATAAAAGAAAAACAAATTAAACCAGCATTTAGAAAAAGTGTTTTATTAGGAAAAGCCCAGTCCATTACATATCAGACATAATTTTGGAGGCAGATTTTATTAGACAGTAAGACAGCCTAGACTCCTGCCACAGCAATAAGCCAAGAATCAAATGAAGGTGTTGCCTCCTGTAAGGAACAGTATAATGAACAAGTACACATCATGCTGCTTCAAAGAAGATTTCCCTCTGGAACCCAGCTCATTACCATGCTAGAATGTCCTAATTTTACAAACCATCAATAGCTTAAAATAAATGTGCCTATTAAAAAGGTCTCTTCAGAGATTATCATGGCTTTAGTGCCCCACTAATGGGCAAAACAAAGGTTTCGCAATGCAGTTTCTGTCAACAACCTACTTCATTATACATATGTAAACAGCTTGAAGACAGTTCCAGCGACACTGTGCTTGACATTTAGAAAACTTCTAGTTTTCTAGTAAACCTAGACTCCCTTGCACACATAAAAGTGGTATTTACAACAACTAAGATCTAAAAAAATTCGACAAAACCAGCAGCAAAAGGAATCCATAGGTCTTCAACTGAATGAATTCTTGGGAAAACGCTAGGCTAGCAAGCCATCTAGTGACCATTTTAAGGTGGCAATTTTACTCAAAGCTTAATTCTACCAAAGGACAAGTTATAGAATATTTCTAAATTATTTCTCAATGCCTTCAATATAAATGATGGCAAAATAATAAGAATCACAGAATCACAGAATATGCTGAGTTGGAAGGGACTCACAAGGATCATCAAAACCAACTTCTGGCCCTGCACAGGACCATCCCCAAGAGTCACACCATGTGCCTGAGAATATCATCCAGACGCTTCTTGAACTCTGTCAGGCTTGGTGCTGTGACCACTTCCCTGGGGAGCCTGTTCCAGTGCCCAATCACCCTCTGGGTGAAGAACCTCTTTGTAATATCCAACCTAAACCTCTCCTGACACAACTTCAGCCCTTAGGTCCTGTCCCTGGTTACCACAGAGAACAGATCAGTGCCTGCACCTCCTCTTCCTCTCAAAGGAAATTGTAGACTGCAATGAGGTCTCCCCTCAGTCTCCTCCAGGTTGAACACACCAAGCGACCTCAGCCCCTCCTCATATGGCTTCCCCTCAAGGCCCTTTGCTGCCCTCCTTTGGATGCTCTCTAATGGCTTAATATCTTTCCTATTTTGTGGTGCCCAAAACTGCACACAATATTCAAGGTGAGGACGCACCAGTGAAGAGCAGAGCAGGACAATCCCCTCCCTCGACCAGCTGGAGATGCTTTCCTGATGCTCCCCAGGACACGGTTGGCCCTCCTGGCTGCCAGGGCACTGCTGACTCAGATTCAACTTGCCATTGACCAGGACCCCCAGGTCCCTTTCCACAGCACTACTTTCCAGCATCTCATTCCCCAGTCTGTATGAACATCCAGAGTTGTCCCATTCCAGGTGCAGAATCCAGCACTCTCCCTTGTTGAACTTCATATGGTTGCTGATTGCCCAGTGCTCCAGCTTGTCAAGGTCTCTCTGCAGGGCCTTGCTGCCTTTGAGGGAGTCAACAGCTCCCCCCCAGTTTTGTGTCATTGGCAAACTTGCTTAGTATCCCTTTCAGTCCCTGTGTCCAAGTCATTTACGAAGATGTTGAAGAGCACAGGGTCTAAGATGGAGCCCTGTGGAACCCGACTAGTGACAGGTTACCAGTCTGATGTCACCCCATTCACTATCGCCCTCTGTGCTCAACCCATGAGCCAATCACTCACCCACCACATGATGTGTTTTTCCAGATGTTCTGGACATTTCATCCAGAAGGATCCTGTAAAAGACAGGATCAAAAGCTTTACTGAAATCTGAAAATACTACCTCAACTGGCTTCCCTTGATCAACTAGGTAGGTGACTTTGTCATGAAAGGAAATCAAGTTTGATAAGAAGGACTTTCCTCTCATGAAGACATGCTGGCTGTGACCAATGACTGTGTTGTCTTTCCAGTGTTTTTAAATGCCACCTCACACTGTAGTGGTAGTTTCTTTGCTGATGCTGATTGCCTCTGGAGGTCATTTAGTCCAGCCTTCTCCTCAAAATTGGTCCCAGCACAGGTGGCTGCTCAGGAACTTGACCAACCACATATTTAGTATCTCCAAGGACAGAGCACCCATAGACACTCAGAGCAACTTATTCTAGTAATTGATCTTCATAGTGGAAGACTTTTTTTCCCCATGTCTAGTTTGAATTTCCTATATTTCATTTCATGTTTGTTGCCTCTCATCCTACCCTTGTGTACGTCTGAGACAAGTCTTCATTGGTCTTCTTTATACCCTCCTATTTGGATGATAAAACAGCAACAAGAACTCCTTTAGCCTTCCCTTCTCCAGGCTAAATAAGTCCACTTCCCCTCAGCCTCTCCTTCTGCAGTGACATGCTACAGCCTCTGACCATCTCGATTCACAGAAGGACATCAATGTCTGTCTTCTACTGGATGAGGGAGAAGGGCACAAACCTGATGATGGTATCCAGATAAGGTCTCATAAGTGTCACATGAAATAGCAAAATTGAACCTCTTGAGCAATTGGCTATGCTTTTGTTATTACAGCAGAGTATGCAGGCAGTCTTTTTGGCAGCACAGGCACATGTTTTCATAATGGTGACAAATGGCTTTATAATGCCAAACAATTTATTTCATAGAACCACTGAATGGTTTGGGTTGGAAGCGACCTTAAAGATCATCTTGTTCCAGTCCCCCTGCCATGGGCAGCAACAACTCTCACTAGATCAAGTTGCTCAAAGCCCCATCCAACGTGGCCTTCAACACTTCCAAGGATGGGACATCCACAGCCACTCTGGGAAACCTGTTCCTGTGCCTCACCACCCTCAAAATGAAGAATTTCTTCCTTAAATCTAATCTAAACTACCTTCTGTCAGTTTAAAGCCATTACCCCTTTTCCTGTCCCTAAATGCCCTTATAAAAAGTCCCTCTTCAGCCTTCTAGTAGGCCCTCTTTAGGTACTGGAAGGTGCTATAAGGTCTCCCTGGACCTTTATCCAGGTTGAACAACGCTAATTCTGTCAGCCTGTGCTCATAGAAGTGGTGCTTCACCCTCTAGTCATCTTGGTGTCCCCCTCCTCTGGACTCACTCCAGCAGGTCCACACCTTTCTTGTGTTGGGGGCTCCAGATCTGGACACACTACTCCAGGCACAGTCTCACAAGACAGGGAGAATTACTTCCCTCGACCTGTTGCTCACACTTCTTTTGATGTAGCCCAGGATACAGTTGGCTTTCTGGGCTGCAAGCACACATTGCTGAGACATGTTGAGCTTCTCATCCACCAACACCCCTAAGTTCTTCTCCCCAGTGCTGCTCTCAACATTTCCAGGTGTCTTCCCCTGGAAGACACATAATTGTTTGAACTAGTATACAAACAGTCCTTACCTATACTTTGAGCAGACTTCTTCCCATATTTTTTCACTGTCTTGAAACAAAACAAACATCCCAAATTATTTTTAATGCTGCTGGCCTACGGTGTTTTGCCTTACTAATCACAATGGATTACTAAAGAACACAGACATGGCTTGTTCAAACTATAGGAAATCTACAGGAATTACATTCTCAAGGTGTCATGGTCTAAGAACAAGACAAGCCTGTTTAGCCTTGCCTCAATTTCATTGTCTCTCACTGAACTAAGCAACCTCTAAGATATCTTGCCATTCATGACACTCTTGTCTTCAAAGAAAGGGGGAAAAAAGTGCTAAAATGTGCCTTAAGAAAAGCTGACTGGGCTAGGAGCCAGCATTCAGCACTGTGTACCAATACAAGACTTGAGGGATCACTGTCTTGGCACATGTAACATTGGTTTCTACAACTATGAAACATATTGAATTGTTCTTCGGAGCAGGAGATGCAGGCTCCCCCCCGAGCCAGGAATTGCCATCCCCCAGATTCATGACTCCTACACAGTTCAAAATATTCATATGAGCAGTAGGATAAAAATCTAGAATTCTTCTGTGGTTTTCTGCCCTCTCTATCTCCTGAGTAATCTTGAGCAAGCAGTCATCTAGTTTTCTTGAAAATTTCAGTACAAGAGACTAAATTTCTCCACAGTTGTACTGGCACAGTGATGAGGTCATTCTTTTTACTAGTGCTGGCTACACGATGAGGTCTTTTGATTGTATCAAGTTCAATACTTGGTGGAGCTTTACTCAAACTACTGTCTATACCCTTATTTGCCAGAATATCCACCTCACAAAAAAAACCCCAAAAAGTACGAATAATTGTAAGAGTATCTCAATTAAAATAGTTGTCTGAAATTTCATCCCACTACCCCCTGACTATAGATAAAAATGTAAGGAGACATATTTCTTATACCTGAGGATTAGCAAATTCTGGGTGTATGGTTTCAAGAGGATAAAGCTATCTCATGATTGCCTCCACATCTAGGCTTGGGTCTGGAGGTTTTTTGTCTGTTTTGTTTTCTCTGGTGGGTTTGTTCAGAGTGGGGTTGAGTAATAAGCTGAATCCACTTATCAGACAACAGGAGATGGCCCAGAGACTTCAAAAAGAATGTTGTAGATTGCAGGCAGGAACAAGGAAGGAGACCTACCTTTTCAGAAGCTATGAAACTATGAAACTCAACTCAGCCGTGTCAAGAAGATCAGCTTCCTGAACTGCTCCTTACACAATTGCAGGACCTCTTTTACTAGTGCAAGAAAAACAGTGGAAACAAGGGAAACCAGACACAAGCACAGCAGCCCCTATTTGTCAGCTCAAATAACTGTGTAAGTGCATCCCTGCCTCTTCATACTTACAGTATGCACTAATTTCTATGCTACAGAGACCAAGTAAAAAATTTCAGACTCTTCAGAATTGGTTGGTAGCATTTGTAAGTCAGTATTCATTGTTGGTTCCGTAACAACTGAGACAGCCTTCTCTCCCTTCCATTTATTAGTTATGACAATTAATATAAATTAATTTTCCACTTGTCTAAAACCTATTTCACTTAGAGATCAATGTTGTTGCAAAGTTCATATTTAAAAAGGAAATAAGCAATAGGACAAGTTTAAAAGCTGGAATTGAAAGATGTACAAGCCTTCAACTCTTAAATACTGCCTTTGCTTGTCTCAGCATGTACGTTCAGATTGAAGGCACAAATACTTCAAAAGAAGTTCCTGAGATATGTCTCCATTTCTGCTCACCCTCTCTTGAAGAAGTTCCACAACTTGTTGTATACAATCATTCACATCACAGGAATCAGTTTTCAGCACAAGCTCTGGGGCTTCTGGTTTTTCATACTCTGAGTCAATCCCAGTAAAACCTAGAGAACATAAAAAAAAAAAATTTAGGTGACTTCTTCCAGAAGATGACTCCATTTTAACACAGTTCACTGACAGTTTCTTAGATACAACCCAACACAACAGGTCAAGAGCACAAAGTTTTAGCTTCCTTAATATAGGATTTCTTAGGGTAATCAACAATTTTTTCTTTATCAGACTATCTGCTAATCCTACTATCTGACTGCATCAAACTTTGGCATTTTGCAGCACATACAAAGCACATTTTTGTGGTAAAGTTATTTGATTTATACTATGAATAGAAAAGGAGAAGCACTGAAGAAAAAGAACACAGAGGAACTATGAACGTCAACTCAGAGTTAGTTATCCATCCACTGTCCTTCATCATTAGCTACCATTGTCACTCTTGTTAAAAAAATAATAAAATTAAAAACATTATGAACTTCCAGTATATATATAAATTTATGCTCATACCACCAGGCAGTATTCGGAAGTAAGAATTCCAACACCTAATGCATTAGTTTAGCTAATATACTCATCTTAAGATAGTTGCTAATGTAAGATTGATGAGTGTGTTTATTATAGTTATAACAACTGTCACAGACTGTACAAGCCACAAGTGACACTTGTTCTGGCCTACTTAGCTAGCAATCGGCTCTGAAATAGTGGAGATTCTGACCAGCCATGCATAAACAAGGAGGAAAAATCAAGGCCAAAGGCAAAGACTGCAAGCACTACAAGTCAGACCTCCAGCAGGAATATCTGTTGGGCTACAGCAACTGAGCATCTGCATCCTCCACAAGTGCAAATACTAACATTAGAGTTTTTCACTTCAGGTTTAAATACCCTCAAACTTAGTAACTTAACTCCCCATCTAAGAAAAATATCAACTGCTGCAGTACCCCATGTGATAAAGAAAGGCTGGTATCTTCCAAAAACTACTATCTACTATAGAAGGATCGGATTACTGGAGGAGTGGGAATAGGAGGCAAAGAAAGTGTCCCATTACCATTGCCAGAGAAGAAGAAGATGACAGTTGCTGACATTCCTTGGGAACTGGCAAGTTCACTGAACTTTCATCCTTCGTGTATCAGAGAGGTCATAAGATACAGCCACTGCTAGACCCACCAGTAGCTTACTCAGGCACTGTATACTTCACTAGCACTTCTACAGTTAACACAGTTCCATTACAGGGCTTGTAAAATTAACAAAATATTAAGGACTTTCTACAGCACAAATAAGGATTCTGTACAGAGATGTATCTTTGTATCGTGCAAGCTCGAGCCATCTTGCTTTGAATCTGAACAAACCTTAGTTCAGCACTATTTATTTATGGCCTTCATATGATATTCTGGAGTACTAGCAACCACTGGCTCTGAAGAATCAAGTAACCACTCATGTAGAATGTTTTAGGTTTCTTGAAGTTGATATCACTTTTGATTAACAGTATCATCATTAAAGCATCTGCAAATTCCGCCTCGAAAGCGATTACTTTAAAAACTGCTTTGCTACTAAATACAGGTTAAAAGAGCTATCATCAACCTCTGCAAACTAAATGTAACACAGAGCAAAGAAGCACTTGAAATAATACTTGCAATGAATGATTGCATAGCTAAGCTTATTTTTATTGCAGGTTACACTTAAATCTTGACCCGAGGCTGGTGATGTGAAATCATTTTCATGGGCACTAGAATGAAACCTTAATTTCAAAGTAAAAGTTTGCCTATTAAGAAGTGTTCTTAACAGTCTTTACAGAGAGATAGTGATCATGCTTTACTTTCTAGAAGAAACTAGCAACTCTTTATACACTTTAGAGAGAATCAGGTTCTGTTTTAACCACTCAATGGACATACAGAAGAGACAGATTAATCCTCAGTCATAAGAAGTTGCAACAGAAACCATGTAATCTGCTCAAGGTTTTTCATTGTGAGGACTGACACTTTTGCCCTTTTACCATCCTACATATTTAAACAGTCAGTTCCATGAGTTAGAAATTGATCCCAGTTTTCTTCTCAGTCCTGTCCTGAGTCCATGCCGTTTTTAAGAGAGGTACGCTCACAGACTTGAGTATATCCACTTACACGGAGACAAATTACACCAAAGTTTCACTTATGTAGAAAGGATGTGACTACATTTAGGTTCACCTTTAATTTCTCCAGCCCTGGCTTTCTTATAGAGTCCTTTAACATCTCTCTGCTCACAGACATGCAATGGAGCATCCACAAATACTTCAAAAAAAGGCAAACTTGCCCCTTCATGAATTTGTCTGGCATTATTACGATCCTGAAAGAAAACAGAAGAAAAATCCTAAAAAGTTGCACCCACATATTACTACTGTCCTTCTGCTTTTGAAGTTCATTTTAAAGAAGCAGTTAGCAAAATGTAAACAAACTTTCAAAGTTTGAAAAAAGAAACATGATTTGATCAATTGATGCCCTGCAAGCTGCATCATTTTGGCTACAGTACATTGCATGGTAAAAGCTGATATGAAGACATGAGATATTTTACATTAACTTGATTTATAAAAAAAGCCAAACCCAGGCATTGAGTGCAGGATTTTCTATACATACATATATATATCTTAGGAGTTACAGCCACCTAGCTGAGTACAGTCAAGAGGAGGTGTTACCTGCTGCTCCTGATATAACCATCCTCCTCTCCAGAGGCCCAGTTTTCTCTACATTCTTTAATCTGGCAAGACTTGTGTAGTCAAACTATTACATTATTTTTATGGTTTGCCAAGCATTGAAACAATTGGTGAGTTGCACTTAGAGAAAAAAAAAAAAACTTTCAAAATCCACTAAAACCATCTCTTACTAAATACAGTTATTTTCCTCATATCTAAAGACTTCTGTTTTACTGGAGGATCTTGAGTTCCCTGAATTATTATGGGAAGAACTGTTTGTACCACTATAACCAATGAAATACCACGTCATTTTCATTAATAACACATGTTACAAATGTCTAAGCTTAAAGCCCTGGGTCATTCTTCAAGATACTTGGGTGTTCACATATCGTTTTTGTTTTTCCCATCTCTGTTCTCACACACAGATGAAAACTGTCTTGACAAAACAATGTGAACATTATACAATACTGAAAATCAGCCTAAATCAATGTCATGTTGTATACACAAAATGAAATAAAGCAAAAAGAACTACAGGCAATTAAAACATTTTTCTCTTAAGCCACTTGGTACAAATAAAGTTCACCCTATTCATTCACTAAAGGAAAAAATGCTTTTAAAAACAATTTAACTGAGTCTTGAGGTTAAATGTATACCTAGTCTTCATATCTATAAAGTACTGGATCAAACAAGATACTGTCATTTTAAGAGTCTTACTTGGAGCATCATTTGGTCTTGTTCCTGATATTAGAGTAATGATTCTGCCTTAGTAGACTGAAGGACAGTGCTAGTTATACAACTAATGTAAACTTTTTTCACATTTAAGACTAATGTTACTGATTTGAGTAATCTCCATAAAGCACAGTTGTCACCAAAAAAAAACCAAGCAAGTATTTGATTCTGGATAAGTTCAGAGAGCAATTTCTGTAACTAAAATTCTGAGTGACATTTTGTGCTTTGTATTTTTCCTACTCTTCATGTAGATGTTTTTCACTTTGTTTTTCACATTTACCTGAGTATAAGGAGAGATGAAACTAGTAATGCACACCAGACCAGCATCTGCAAACAATTTAGCAACTTCAGCAATACGACGGACATTCTCTTCTCTATCTTCTGGTGTGAAACCCAGATTCTTATTAAGGCCTTGGCGAATGTTGTCACCATCCAAAGTGTAGCATGGAATACCATGGCATACTAAATACTCCTCCAGTGCCATGCTCACTGTAGTCTTCCCAGCACCAGACAGACCTAAAATATTCAATAACAATATAAATAGGTAAGCACAGAAACAAGTTAAGGCAAGTTGTAGTATACATACCGCTGCTAGTATGAAAATCCTGAAGTGACAGGCATCAGCAGCAATGCCTTTTGGGCATGCTTACCTGGAATACAGGCCAAGGTTTTTATACAGACATTTGGTATAGGGAAAGTAAGGCACAAAGTTAAGTGTGTAATTTGAAGCAGGTCAAAGAGTCTGGCCTTGAGAGCTGCTTATAGAAGTCATGCACTTTCCACAGTGCTGCTGCTGGCAATTATTACTACCTGAGCACACTAAATTCAGAAACCAAACACAGTTAAGGTGTTATGTTTATGTGACAAAAGAAAAGATCTCATACTGAAGTGAATTTAGTCAACAAAAGAAATGCAATCAGGTCAAAACCACATTTTGTTCTTACTCCCTGCAGAATAATAGCACTGAATTAGACATCACAGACAAAACCAAAGTCATTCAAAACTGTCACACATGTTTCACTAACTGGCATGTGTTAGCAACAAGCAAAAAAAATTATAATATCTAACTCCAGTCCAATTCAGAATCTTTGGCAACAAACTTTTAAATACTTGAGAAGCCTTGCTGGCCCTAAAATGTCCACTGTTTGAAGCTGGAAATTTGTTTAAATAATTTTTCAGACTAGATTTCAGTTTAGCTAGAGCACATGCTTCAGCTTATACCAAGAAGTCAATTCCTAAATGGAGCACAAACTCAGATCTTCATAAGATGACATTTATCCTTTAAGCAGAAAAAATAAAAGAAAAAAAAAGTAATGGTAGTATAAAAAAAGTAGCACTAATGGGTGAAGAAAAATGTTTTTATCTTTATTAGTGGTAATTAAGATTTATTCTAATTATCAAAGAAAGACCAAAAAAAAATTACACAAACCAGTAGTTCGGTATTACTTCCATGCTAGCAAACACGTTCTAAGAAAACACAAAGTGCAAAGGAAACCTAGACAACTTAAGGTGTTTAGGGTAATTAAAAGAAAAGGAGTCATTGCATTGTTTCCTCTGGTGCCCATTACTACCAATAACCAAGTCAGTTGTTAGCCTTCCCTCCTCCCTATCTCTTTTTTTTCTTTTTTTTTTTTTTTCTTTTTTTTTCTTTTTTTTTCCTTTCATGTGTGTGTGGAAGCTGCTGTAAGTTCACTGATGATTTAGCAAGTTGAATCAGCTCAAGGTTTGCATCTACCACTTGTGCAAGATGAGAAGGAACACAAGACAGAACACAGAACAATCTTCTTTTGGCAGCAATTAAGTACGCCCCCATCACAGAAAATAGATGTGATAGTTCAAAATGAGATTACAGCAACTTCGTCATTTACTCCTCACTGATGCAGTCTTTGACTTGTCATTTTTGTCCCCACATCTAGCTTGCTATTCACTCAAATGCTTTTCACACACCATTTGGTCCCTAATATGTAATGAATTGCAAAAGTTAAGGTTATACATTAATGAATTCAAAAAACAGTCTTAGAGCTGACAAGTCTTTAAAATAACTTACACTCTCAAAACTGCATATTATTTTGCACATGGAAATAGTGGGTTTCCCTATTTTTGACACATTCCTCAGGGTTTTGTTTACTAGGACCCTGTTGAGTCAACTCAACATTCATTAGAACTGAGCTCTCAAATAAAGGCTAGCTTAAAAATGAAAACCTTTGAAGGAACTTTCCATACACTCCCACCTCAGGAGTGCTGACGAGGTGAGAGAATCTTGGAGTATACCAACATTTCATCTGTTATTCCAACACTTCACAGAGTTTTGAAGAATCATGTTTGCACAGTTCTAGAATAGTAAATATTGCTTACCATGCCTACCGTCCTTTTCACTCCCTAACATTACTGCTCAAACATTTTCTATAACCTTGCTTCCCACACACACTCTAAATACGTCACCACCACCCTTCTTCCTCAAGAAAAGGAAACTGAGCATTAAGATTACACTTGTTTAAAAAGAATGTTGACTGGAAAATGTTGCCATGTAGATAACTGAGAAAACATTTTTATCATGACTTTTTTCAAAGTGGTATTAATGAATTACCAGGAGAAACAGAAAGGCAGCCTACCAGATCATTTGAGCATTGAGAGACAGGCTGGAGCTAAGTGACAGAAACAGGGAGAGAAAGGGTTCCATTCTTTTCCCAAAGAAATAGGTGAAAGCAAGCTACTGTATCAAATCTGTTTGGAACGACTCTCAGCAATTTGTTATCAACTACTTCTTTACATTTCACTAACACTGGTGGAAACAAATTTTACCTAATTTAGTAAGTTTCTCTAATACTCTGTCAAGATCTTTTGTGTCGCAATACAACAGTGCTTTAAATGGTTTACAAACTAATTACATTACACATTTTGTTAGATTTATTTTTTATTTTCAGTTTTAACTAAAAGTAACTTTAAAGGAAATATATTAAAGGTGCCAAGAACTTTGAAAGGCAGAGCAAAAAAATTTCCCCTCACAGTTATGAAATAAAACTGTCTTCCAGAATTATTTACCCCCTTTTTACAATCAAAACAATTCAGAGACAAAAACCCACACTGCTGATTTCAAAAATAGCTCCCAGTGTGCATTGCCTCAACATGCAATTACTTTCTAAAGGCACAAGTTTATACCAAAAAATTATTTCAACCCAAGGAGACAAGAACATTCCAACGAGAAGAGGCCTTTAGAGAATCGATTCAGAAATACAGACTCTTATCAAAAAAAAGTTAGGTTTCATTTGTTAATAATAGACAGTACAAAGAGCCAGAACTGGTTAAAACACAGGAAAAAAAAAGAAAATAAAAGAAACACACATACACAGAAAATAAAACCAACCAAAACTCCCCATACATTCCAAAATTCAACCAGAATTAAGCAGCAGACAGTACCAAGAAAAACAACCCTCCCAGTGCACTGAACAAAATACATTCTCAAGTTACTATCTGTCCCAAAGCAATTTCCTGTTAGTCTACCTAAAAATAGTAATAAAATTGCATCAAGGCCTTAGATTTCACAAACATTCAACTTTGCATGCAAAAAGGAGCTACAGTTAAGTAGCTTTTCAGAAGAGTAACTAAAACAAAAGGATCCTCAGAAATCCATGACCGTACCTGTCAACCAGACCGTGCATCCACGAAAACCACTTCTTGTTCCTACCACTTGGCCTCTTTTATTCCTGCTGACATGATGAGCTTGGTAGGTAACATTGGTTGCCCTTTGCATTCCCTATAAAAGAAGAAGTTTATTAGGTCTTTTCAACCTCTAAAGGGTGAGTTGGCAAACCAGACTGAAACTTATTCACAGGCACAAAGAAAGACTTGGAGACAGGCAAATGGAAGTAAAAACAATACCCATCCATCAGCTGCTGAACTGGTCAAAGGAGACACATGAAACTAGAAAAGTCACCCATAGCAAACCACATCCCTTGTGCTCCTTCTGTGAAGCTCGGGCTTGACAGACCAATCAACTACTACTTTCAAATACAACTTGTTTAAGAAAAATCAACTATTAAAAAGACAGATGAACTGCTTGCTAGAGCTGCTAGACTTGACTTCTACTCAAGTAATTTCAGGGATCTGCTTGATATAACACCATGGGATAAAGCCCTGGATGGAAGAGGGGCCCAGGAGAAAATTGTTTGATATTCAAGGATCACCTCTTCCAAGCTCAGGAGTGATGCATCCCAAAAAAGAGGAAGTCAGGCAAAAAAAGCCAGGAGACCTGCATGGAGGAATAAGAAACTCCTGGGTGGGTGAAAACAGGGACAGGGAGCCTGGGAGAAATAGAGAGAAACTGCCTGAGCAGCCAGAGATCAGGTTAGGAAAGCTAAAGCCCTAACAGAATTAAACCTGGCCAGGGACGTCAAAGGCAACAAGAAAAGCTTCTGTGTAGGTACCTTGGTGATAAAAAGACGACTAGGGAGAATGTGGGCCCTGTCTGGAAGAAAAAAGGAGACTTGGTTACTCGAGACATAGACAAGGCTAAGCTACTCAATGACTTTTTTGCCTTGTTCTTCACTGACAAGTGCTCCAGCCATGCTGCCCAAGTCACAGAAGGCAAAGGCAAGGACTGGGAGAATGAAGAACTGTTGCCCACTGTAGGAGAAGACCAGGTTAGAGACCCTCTCAGGAATCTGAAGGTGCACAAGTCCATGGGACCTGATGAGATACATCTGCTGCTCCTGAATGAACTAGTGAAGGAAGCCACAATCCATCATATTTGAGAAGTCACAGCAGTCTGGTGACATTTGAAAAGGAGGAACATAACCTCATTTTTTCAAAAGGGAAATAAGGAAGACCTGGGGAACTACAAATCCATCAACCCCACTTCTCTGCCCACCAAGATTAAGGAGCAGAAGCTCCTAGAAACTATGCTAAGACACAAAAAATAAGGAGGTGATTTGTGACAGCCAACATGGCTTCACTAAGGGCAAATCGTGCCTGACAAATTCAGTGGCTTTACAGTGTTGGTGGATAATGGAAGAGTAATTGATACCATTTACTTGGACTTGAGCAAAGCACACGACTGTCCCACATGATATCCTTGTCTCTAAACGGGAGAGACATGTATTTGAAGGGTGGAACACCTGGTCTATAAGGAATTAGCTGCACGGTCACACCCTTAAGAGCTGTGGTCAACAGCTCGGTGTCCAAGTGGAGGGCAGTGACAAGTGCTGTTCCTCAGGGGATGGTACTGGGACTGGCACTGTTTAACAACTTTGTCAGTGTCAGGGGACTGAGTGGGATTGAGTGCTCCCTCAGCAAGACTGGCAACAACACCAAGCTGTGTGGTGCAGCTGACATGCTGGAGGGAAGGGATGTCATCCAGAGGGACCCTGACAGGCTTCAGAGGTTGCCCGTGTGAACCCCATGAAGTTCAAAAAGGCCCAGTGCAAGGTCCTGCAATCCCAAGCACTAACACAGTCTGGGCAGAGAATGGATTGAGAGCAGCTCTGGACAGAAGGACTGGGGGATGACAAGCTGCTAGACATAAACCAGCAGCATGCACTTGCAGCCCAGAAAGCCAATTGAACCCTGGGCTGCATCAAAAAAATCATGAGCAGCAGATCAAGGCAGGTGGTTCTTCCCTTCTATTCTGCTCTTGTGAGACCCAATCTCAGGTGCTGCATCCAGCTCTGCAGCCACCAACAAAAGAGGCACACAGACCTGTTGGAGTGAGTCCAGAGGAGGGAACAAAGATGCTCAGAGGACTAGAGTACCTCTTCTGTGAGGACACACTGAGAGAGTTGGGGTTGCTCAGCCTGCAGAAGAGAAGGCTCCAAGAAGACTTTACAGCAGCCTTCCAGAACCTAAAGGGGGCCTACAAGAGATCTGGAGAGTGACTTTTTACAAGAGCATGTAGGGATAGGACACAGGGGAATGGCTTTGAACTGACAGAAAGTAGTTTAGATTAGATATCAGGAAGAAATTCTTTACTGTGAGGGTGGTGAGGCACTGGAAAAGGTTTCCCAGAGAGGCTGTGGATGCCCCATCCCTGGAAGTGTTGACAGCCAGGTTGGATGGGGCTTTGAGCAACCTGGTCTAGTAAGAGGTGTCCCTGCCCAAGGCAGGGGGGTTGGGACTAGATGATCTTCAAGGTCCCTTCCTAACCAAATACATTCTAAGAGTCTCTGTTTTCATGAATTTAAATCTAAGAACATCAAATGGATTCTCCCTTTCTTTGAGCTAAAGGTCTCTGTTATAAAACAGCCACTTACTTTTAACTCTCAAAAGGCCTTTTCATTGCAAACTACGCATGCCTCTTCAAAGTTTCAGTTCAGTTTCGCTTTCAAACTACTCTGCCTTTATGTATGGTATCTTCAGTCTCCAGAAGAGAGATATTTATCATAAATTCTAAATATTTAAAGAAAGTACTATTCCTAAGGAACTTATTAAAGAATTTACTTTAAAAGATGGGCTTTTTGTAACATAATTTTAATTAAAACAAAGCTGGTAACTGAGTTTCTTAAAATTATTCATCATAATGACTTGCTCTACAAATATCTTCAGTAAGATGACACCACTGTCAAACACATTTCACAATCCAAAGTCAGGAAGCCCTCAGGAAGATCAGCCTTGGCATTCCCTTAGGCTTTAAAGGTATCTAACCATATGAACTTTGTTTGTAATAGATCAAGACCTTAGATAGCCAGACAGAGCATGAACAATCCAACAAAATAGAAGGCTTAAAAAAAAGGGGGTGAATGTGTGTTTGAGGGGTGAGAGGGATCAGTGGTATGTGTAGTGCTGCTTTGAATTCTCTTGCTTACAAACATATTGCAAGGTATTTGCAGTCTTCTCTTTCATCATTGTATCAGTGCTAGTTGAAAATGAAAACACATTGTGTGTATATATATATATATATACATATAAAAGAAAGAAGGGAGTATATTCCTCTATGGAGAACTAACTGAGAGCTGTTCATAGGTGTAGAGGGAGACACCACAAAATAGAGCTAAGAGAAAATTTGTATCTACTTGTGGCTTCAAGGACTGCTGCTACATCATTCTTCTATCCAAAAGTTTATAACTTCATTGGAAGTTATGAATTTATGTGATTGTATGTCCCCAATTCTATAAACAACTGGGCTCATAGTTAATACAAACAGAAACTCAGCATAGGAACCAATGTTCAAGATTTAAACACAATAACTCTATAATTCAGCTGTGATACTCCAACATCCATAAGAAACCACGACCTGCAAACAGGTTATAACCACAAAAAATGAAGTTATATTTGTTGATCATGTTACCTTCAATTAATTTATCCCTTAAAACAAAACTGTTTTATGCACAAAGTCATTGCAATACAGCCAACTAAAACCAAAAATCAAAAAAACAAAGTCTTTCTTCTTATAGTAGAAACAATTACACACTACGTGAAATCGGAGATCTCAGTGAGCAAATGCATAAATTGTGGAATTAAAATCAACAAGAATAATTTAAGTACTTCAATTAAAAGATATACTGTGCATAATGAATGTACACAGCATTCAAGCAAATACAGTAATAGCAACATTCTTTCTCATTAATTCCAATTGTACTGGATTGTACCAGGCACTGGATAAATAGCAGACAGTCTTAAAGCACAGATCCCATGCCACTGTCTCAGTTAGCTCTTTCACATTAATACATAAAAACACAAATGGTTTGCTTTTGACTCCTGACAATGAGTCTATTATCAGACTCATACTTTGGAGGTCAAATGTCTCATCCAAGGAGACCTCTTCCAGTCCACATTCCATAAGTTACAGTAGTTTTCTCTGTTTTCCAGAACTAAGAAAGCAGCTCTGAAGCTTGTGGAAGATGGGCAAAAGGAAGAAGAACAATACAGAAGATGAATTGAAGTCCTGAAAAGTCAACCAAAGATTAGAGACAATGGACTTTACTAAGAGAGTTCTAGATCACTGTTAAAACACAGTTCACTTATTATACTCCATAATTTTCATAAAAATTCCCTTAAACTGTTTACCCCTTTTTATCCCTGGTTGCTCATTGGTTGATTCCCTATATGGTTGTAACCCTTCCCTCCTTATCCATATAAAGTTGTAACCCTTCCCATATTATCTTAGTTTGGGCAAACTCCCTCCTTCCCTTTCCATATTCGTTATGTTCACACCCACTGTTCTAGAAAGTTCACTGCTTCCCCTATATAAAGGGGAGCCATCTTAATAAAGTGTTCATTCTTGCTTGACCTACAACCTGTCTCGAACTCCTGAGTGGATCTTTCCAGTATTCACAGCCAGGCTGTAATAGAAAACAATCAGGGTACTACACTAGGTTTACAAAACACAGGAAAACCTGAGGAAGCAGGCCAGAGGGATTCTTAAAATGATGAAAAAGACACAATTTAATTAAAAAAAAAAAAAAAATGGTACTAATGATGACTTAGCGGAGATGACAAATCACAGTAAGGAGAAGGCCAACAGACTGCTAGAAGACAAGGCACACAAATGCAATGGAGCAGCCAGCAGGCTCAGCAGTGGGACAATAATCCATCTGTACTTCAGAAGCATCTAAGGCTAAAGGTTAAAGTGCCCAAACAGTCTGCATGCATACAAAAACACACGCGCTGCTGCCAGCCACCCCACCTTCTGTATCTGTATATCTGCACACAAACAAGACAGCTCAGTGCTACTCCTGGGCAAAGCAGAACCAAAATCCCCCTTATCTTCCAACAGAAAACCACTTTTTATAGATGTGCTCCAAAAAGTTAATAATTTAGCAAGCCATTCTCTGTTTCTGAGGGAAAAAAAAAGCAGTTGCCTAATCATGTCCACTTTGCTACTAAATGATTTGCTACCAAACAATTTGCTACCACCACTGAGCAACTAAAGCTGAACTAGCTGAACACTGGACCTTCAACAATATAAGTTTTTAGTTACTATCCCTGACATATAGACTTACTATCAATACTGATGTAGCACAGAAAAGTATTCACTGGATCATACTGGCTGTGCTCTTTAATTATTTAGTCAGTCTTCAAATTTTACTACATAAAATCTAATGACTATCAACTGACGAAATTAAACAGCCATCCAAAATGATACCAGAAATAAAGAACAGTCATTTCCTTTTACACACTATCAAAGCATGACTCACCTTGGAGATCCATATTATCAATGTTAAATTAAACACAAGAAAATGTGTAATAGAAAAACTCAGTGTAATGCACGAGTACTCTTTGAAAAAGCTATTTTAAAATTCTTAGACCAGTTATATTCACTGTAATACTCACTACTGAAAGGACACACTACATTTTTGTAAAGGGCTACTGAAAAAAGGACATTCATTAATCACAAAGGTTTTCTGCTTTTTTTACAAGCATTGGATATTTCCTCTCTGACAAGTAAGTCTTCCACTCTGAGATACACTTTAAGTGCATCTCCATTACTTAGAAAAATCCTACATGCTAATATTTTCCCTTCTATTCACCATGTTAAACACAAATAATGCTTTACTCCACTGTGATTCATTACAGTTTGTTTCACATGAAATCTGAATTGCTGAAACAGGTTAATATCTTTGTACTGAAGTAAAAAAGGAGCATTAAAGAAACAAGTGTTTCATAGATGTGCACTGGAGAGCTGCAGTGATAAGAAAGCAAGGAAGGATAACTGTGCAGTTTACTTTTTCTGGCATAAAGGTAAAATTTTAGCTTTGCAGGTAGTTGTCCAGGGAAACAAACACAGACATCCAAAAACTACAGGAACAAAAGAAAGAAAGATAATGAGGGTCAAAAGGAAATACTAACTCTGTCAATTTCTCTATGTACAGATCTGCTGAGATAGATGACCTATTTTTTTCTTATCTTTCTTGATATTTTGCCAAGTTGCATCTACAATTTTTCTTTGCCAAAGCCAAATCAGGCTATTAGCACCTAATACCTTTGATGTAAGAACTCAGATAGGAATCCAGATGAAGTAAACCTAAGTTGCAATACCTGGATCAAAAGACAGCCAAAAGAATAGATTATTGATATATTATTTCATAGTTAACACACTGATGGTATATACACTGCCATAAGCTGAAGCTACTCTTAATTACTTCAGAGCAACAATGAAACACTGTGCTTCTACAGTCACTTTACATCAAATTTTAACTTCTCACAAAGCAAGACCTCTGGGGAAGGAAGTAAATCTTTCCATGGCAAGCAGAGATACCCCAAGCTACAGCACCAACTTGAGACAGCTTTGAGGTCGGAAGTATCGGGAAAGAACTGTGTATACAGACTGAATATACTCAAGAAGCTGTGACTAATTCCAGTCCTCTAGGATGACAGTGTTGGTTCACCAAGCTAAGAACTCCCATAAGCTCACAAAAGCACACATACAGCCTCATCTCTGAATTGCAGTCTTACTTTTAATGCCCTTATCATTTCCCAATCATCAAAAATTTTTTTTTAAGCTATTTGCTAACTTGCTCACCCTATGCCTCTTATAAGCCAGGGATACCCTGATAACAACACATTTTTATGATGTTTATTCTTCAGCTCTGATAACTCAACCAAAGGTTTCTTTTTTGCCTCCAAACTGGTTCAATAGCCAAGCAGCAACTCAAGCAGACAGAACACTGTCAGTTTTCTTTGTCTAGATACAAGCACAAGCAAGGAGAATAGACATAGTTCCAACACAAAAATTCAACTACCACTGAGGCTAAAACCGCATATTTACATGAGGTTTCAAGACCTGCTCACCAAAAGATCTGCCAGAAATACCTTCCAATAGTTACTATCTCAAATTCTGGTTTGAAAATTTGTGCTTTGACTTGGGACAACTGAGCTTGGGAAAAGAAGGGCAAGCCCAGAAATTATATCTGAGCGATAAGATCCTTTAGTCTTTCAAAAACCTAACAATTCCCCAAACCATTTTCTATCATAGCCTACAGCTATGACATTTCTCCCACTAACAACACATTTCTCCAACTAACAATAAAAATTCTTACTTTGATCCTCACAATGCCCACTGGAAAGCAGTTTGCCACAGTGATACCAATACAATAAGTCATCTAAACACCTTTGCATGTAGCACCACCCAATCTGCCAAATGAACACTCTCCTGTTGCTTACAGAGACTATATCACCCTTGCCAGACGCTCTAAAGCTGGGACAGTTTCAAAAATCACAGCAGCAGAAATCAGCCAGCATCTTCTACAGCACTGTATATACAAGCACCTCAGTGCTGACCATACTATGAGGAGTGTATCTTCATGTGCCACATGCTGCACTAACAGCAGTGTTAATGACCAGAGGCAGAGACAGCCTATTCACCAGTGGACTCACTGGCTGGCATCAGAGGAGATGGACAAGAAACAAAGCCAGAAATTACTCCACCGAATATGCTCTCAAGAACAAGAACTGGAGCAAGTTCTCTTTAGGGGTTAGCTGTGAAATGATGCAACACCTGCCATGTTAGGAATTCAAGCCACTCTAAAGAAAGTGTTCCAAACGTCTTCCTACCAAGCTAGTGTAGTGGCAGTGTTTGCAGCTACGCTATGTGCTGCTCTGCAACTTGGGAGTTTGCTGTGCTCAGAGCAGGGCTCAGCAAGGGCACTTCCACAGACAGAGGTGTATTTTGAATGGCACTGGATGCACAGGGAAATTTTGGAAGACAAGGCTCTGCCTGCTCTCCTAGGGGCTGGCAATTCCATCGGGGTATAATGAGTTGCTTTGACTTCGCTCTCAGCTGAACAGACAGAGAGTCAGAAGTGCCAGAACACTGTGTCTGTGGAGCATGTGAATCAGCAGCATTTTTGTTCCTGGTGAAGCTTAGTGGTTTATAAAGAGCATTTCAGTTGAGATCCTCTCAAGAAAAAGGGAGAAGCGGAAGACTTCCTCTGCTTGCCACGTAACATAGAGGGGGTTGCTAACCTCAGCTGAACTCAGCAAATACTTAATGTCTGGTAGTGTATTTCCCCGGTTTGGACAAATCCATCTTGGCTTTGCTTATGACAAATGAAATAATACAGAGTAACTTTTCTAATACACTTTGTTACCCCCACCAAGACATTGTCTATTTCATTATCTTCTACGCATCAGATCTTGCTTCTTCCTTGTGGAAATTGAAAGAATGTAACTTACCAATTACTCTCTTATGTAAACAAGTTTGAACTTGTACGCAGTGGAGGAGGCTTGGACAGGGACAAGATCTAACAGACAGTTTTTAGCACGATACCAACTTCCCCGTTTTTCAGGCAAGAGTTCCTTTTAACAGGAAAGGTCTGGCCTGTACCGCTCACAGGAAGACTTCAAAGACTGATTTACTCTCTTATGTTCATATCAAATGTTTTCTGGATCTTATGTCTTGCCTATTTCAGCTCAGCACTGTTTGAAAGAAAACGTTTTTTTTTTTTTATTCCACTTGTCTTGCATCATCGAAAGTATCAAATGTTCTCAAAAGCCTGCAATGTAGCTTCTAAATAGCTGCATTTTGGTCTTTGCTGTAAACCGATCTTTCCCCATCTTTACGAACAAGAATGAAGGCTTTGGTTAGATTTTTTTTTTAAGCCCTGTCTCGACAGTTTTCCACATCACACCCGCCATACAAAGAACCTCAGTCTTTGGCCAACCCAGGTTTATGAATGGCCACATTGTACATCGCATTCTTAAGCCTTCCTTCTTCCAAGACGTTGGAAGCCGAGGGCTCACGGCGGAAGAGCCAGGGATGAAACCTCCAGACGCCCGGTTCACCCCCCCGGAGGGGCTTCCTGCCCTTCCCCGCTGAGCCCCCACGGCGGCCCCGCCGGGCTGCACGGCCGGGCTGCCGCTGCAATGCCGGGCTCGGACCGCCGCGCCCTCCGCCCCGCATCCCTCCCCGCCCGCGGCACGGAGCCCCCCGTCCCGGCTGCCGCTGCCGCCCACTGCCACATCACCACGGAGCCCGGCCGCTGCTTCCTTCCTTCCTTCCTTCCTTGCTTCCCTCCGCTCTCCCCCCGCGCGCCCACCTGCCCTCAGGCGCCCGCACGCCCGCTCACCCAGCTCGGCACCCTGTTGCTCAGTTTGACTTTCTTGCACTGGCTCTCGGGCAGCTCCATGGACGCGGGGGCAGCGAGTGGAGGAGGAGGAGGAGAAGGAGGAGGAAGGGAGGAAAACGCGCCTTCCCGACTGATGCTCGGCGAGGATGAATCCGCTGCCGCCGGGGAGCTGCGCCGTCTGCGCACACCCGCGGCTCGGCCAAGGGTGGTGCAGGGAGGAGCCGCGGCCCCGCGGCAGGGAGGGAGGGAGGGAGGGAAGGAGCGAAGGAGGGAGGGAAAGGGAGAGGGAGGGGACGGGAGGAAGGAGGGACGGCAGCCGGAGCCCCACGCGCGCGTGCGCCGCGCCGTGACGCGCCCGGGTGGGCGGGGGCCGCGCGTGGCGGCACTTCCGCTACCGCTGCTGGTGGCGCGGTTCGTGTCAGTGTCCCTGTGCGTGTCCCTGTCCGTGTCCTTCTCCACGCCGCTGCCCTTGGCCATGCCCCGGGCCGTGTCCCGGCCCTGCGCCCACCAACGCTGCTCGCTTCATTCGAGAGGACGTAGTCTTCTTGAGCGATGAGGAGAGGACATAAAGTCTTACGATGCACCAAGGGGAGGTTTAGGCTGGATATTAGGAGGAATTTCTTCACGGAAAGGGTCCGTGAACATTGGAGTGGGCTGCGCAGGGGGCTGCTGGAGTCACCGTCACTGTAGGTGTTTAAGGAAAGGCTGGGCGTGGCACTTGGTGCCGTGGTCTAGTTGACAAGGTGGTGTTGGGTCTCAGCGATCTCGGAGGTCTTTTCCAGTCTAATTGATCCTGTGATTCCCAGCCGCCCTCCACTACGATATTAAGCTTGGGCTGCCCAGCGGAGGTGTTCTCTCTTGCGTGTGGTGCTCCCTGCTTTCTCCAGTATCGCAGAGAGGAGAGGCTGTTCCGCCCCTCAGGAAAAGCTGTGGGCCAGGGGAAGGTGCGGAGTGGCCGTCACGTTGTTCTGTGGCAGGGCAAGCTAAAGACACAGCCAGAGCAGAGCACTCCTTCCCCTGCCTTTGAAGAAAGAGGGGGCTTTACTGCAAAACCTTAGCTTGGAGGTGATGAAACTGAGAAGCCGTAGACTGGGCATCGGTGGTGGTGCTGTCATGACTGACTGGAAAGGCAAGAACTATTTCGATTGAATCTCCCATCTTAGAAAGATCTCCCCAGCAAACAAAGCTAATCCCGTGCTGCGCTCTAGGAAATGTCACTTATTGTGAATTTAGAACCAGAAGTTTTTGGGTACTTATTTCCAGAACTGAACTGCTGTAGCAGTCAGGTGCTAATCTTAAGGCGGAGATGATGGCGTGCTAACAGGAGTGGCATTTGCTGTACAAATATTAGAAATTAAAATTATGTTAGTTCAAGGAAGGAAATGCTTTAGCACTTAAAGGTGGAATGGTGCTGTAATTACAGGAGTTACATGTACTGTATAAGCATTAGTCTATCCACAATCTATCTGTAGCATGTTTGTTCTCTGATGGTTTAAACAAAAAATAAAAAGGATTTCTTTGTGGATCAATGTTTACTCCTGCTATATCAGAAAGACATCCTTCCAAAGAAACTAAGGTGTTGGTTTAAAAGCATGTATTGATATTCTGATTAAAAGCTTAAAATCTTTATGCAAGGTAGATGATGTCTCTGAAATCAAGAAAAAATAGTTGGAAATGCTCTCAGGCAATTTGAAGGTCAGATGGAATGAATACAATGTAACTAAGAAATTTAAAAATTGCAGTTATTTATTTAGGCTTGACATTATATCACATGTTTTCCTGCAAGTAACTGTTCAACAGATGGTCCTTGGCTGCATTCTGACCATGACAAACAATGACAGAGCCAGGGCCTGGATTTTAATCGGCAAAATCTCCCACACCATGCTCTCCCAAGTATGGAAAGAGAACCAGCACAGTACTGTGGAAAGGTGAGTTAAGATCTTCCTCCTGTTGACTATTCAGTTATGTGTAGGGTGTGCTTGTTTACCTGTGCTTTGCACAACATTGTTTTACATGGCTTGAGAGTAATTCTCAAAGTTATTTGTTGTCACATTCTTTTTAAAATTGTACTGCTATTATTTATTATAATTACATTGATGTAGATAGGTGCTGTTCATTCTGCAGTCTGAGAGACAATAGTGGAAAGACAGTGGTTTGCAAGAGTTGTAAATTAAATCCAAAATAAAGGCAGCCCACCTAATTATGCAGCAGTGACTTCTTACAGGTCCATTTGGCTCCCCTGTAATACCCACTCATTGGCTGGGAGCAAACCAGCAGATTTTTTTAAATGGTCTGCATAGGCGTTTTGCTTTGTTCAGCTGCTTGCCAGCAAGGAGTCCCATCCCATCATGGCAACTTTTGTGCCACCTACTTACTGAAGAAATGTTGTTGGATTCTTATTTGAAGGTTGAGAAAACAAGGCTTTGAGCACAGGTGAAGTTTCAGGCAATGGTATTTAGAGTTTGAAAAATCGAAAGAGAAGAAAATGCAGTTGTATTAATTACCATGTATGCACAATACTGCCCAAACGGATTGAAGGCAGGGAGCTGCATCATTCCTTCCAGAAAATGTTGAAAAAACCCTGATGAACGGACCATATACTAGTGAAATGTGAAGTATGTCTGCAAATACAGACACTATTGGTCAGACAATGACATAATCTTAGAGGTGATAAAAAAAACTGTTTCTGAACAGCAGTTCCTAAAACAGATCACCTTTTATGATTATCCTAACATTCTAAAATAATGTAGACATACATATGCATATATAGTATAGTAGAATATTATAGTAAAGCCACACATGTAGATGAGGTACATCACAGAATGGAAGGAACCACCAGTAGGCTCATGTGGTCCAACCTTTCTGCTCAAGCAAGGTCATCCTAGAATACATTGCACAGGATTGTGTCCAGATGGTTCTTCAATATCTCCAGTGAGGGAGACTACACAGCCTCCCTGGGCAATCTGTTCCAGTGCTTGCTCACCCACAAAGTACAGAAGTTCTTCCTTATAGAATCAGAATCATAGAATCATAGAATCATAAAATGGCTTGGTTTGGAAGGGACCTTAAAGATCACTTATTTCCAAGTCCCCTGTCTTGGCACACCTTTCACTAGACCAGGTTGCTCATATTCAAATGGAACATCCTGTACATCAGTTTCTGCCTGTTGCTTCTTGTCCTATTGCTCAGCACCACCAAGAAGAGCCTGGCTCCATCCTCCCTCACTTCAGATACTTATGGACATTGATGAGGTCCCCTCTCAGTTGCCTGTTCCTGAGGCTGAACAGGCCCAACTCCCTCAGCCTTTCCTCGTAAGAGAGATGCTCCAATCCCCTCATCATCCATATTGCCCTCCACTGGACCGGCTCCAGGAGCTCCATGTCTCTCTTGTACTGCGGAGCCCAGAGCTGGACACAGCATTCCAGATGTGGCCTCACTAGGGGCAGAATCACCTCCCTCAATCTGCTGGCAATGCTCTTCCTAATGTAATATATCAGGCAATAACCAATATTTGCATATTTTACAGAGGCTAATGTCACAAGCATAGGTCATATTTCATCAGTTCTTGTCCATGCTGTTTCAGTGGAAATGCAAATATAATTTTGTTGTACAGAAATTTGACATATAAGTCCATCCAGAGCTACCCTTGCATTTTGCTTCTTCTACTTTTTAACCTCCTTAAAGAGGGATGTGAGCAGAGCATTCTTTAAATATAGGGAGAAAATATATGTTAATTTATGTGAAGATCTGTGAAAAATTAGCAGCCTGTGAGTTCTTTGTAACATAGTGTATAAGTTCTGTAACACTATTAAGGGGTAAATTACAATTCCACTTTCCTGAAATCTTTAATGGTTGCATTGATTTTGATATCCAAGCCAGGTGTTTTCTGAACTTCAAAAGCAAATTTCTGTGGGAGCCCTTAGTGAAATTCAAATCAATAAGAATTGCTGTCATTTCTTAATCTGCTTCTTCCAAGCTGAGTTCATGACAGCAGGTACTCTTGCAACCCTTCTCTATGGAGCTAATAAAGCTACAAATCTAAGGCCTGTGTCCTTGCTAAATGTCAGTGTGGTCAGAGAATGAAGGCAGAATTGAGCTAAAAGATTATGAGATAAATCTTTGGCCAGTCTGAACTCCCCCAAAAAAAGACTAACTCAGCCTCTGAAAGAACTACCACGATTTAGTATCCTTGAGTTGATTGGGATCCTGAATACTCCTGTCAAAGAGCTACTCTGTAAAATGACCATAATAAATTTGGATTTAATGTTCTTGCAGGAGCAACAAATCCAAAATATCCACTACTGTTTGGCTTAATTTCAAAAAGAGAAGTTACATAAAATTTGAGTTATTTTTTAAAAAGGAAGTACTAGAAAACATAGACAGCACAGGGACTAGTTAAAGAAACTATGCTGGATCCTGACTTGAAGATTGGGAAAACACAGTCTTTGAGCACAGATGAAGTTTTAGACAAGTCCCCTACATCTACATGATACCACTGAAAGACTCTCAGCCAAAGAACAAATTGTACATACAGACATGCTCCAGACCAACTCAGGGAAATCCTTTCAATTCTGCTTAGGGACAATGACATTGAAAAAATTCTCTACTGAGTTAGCTTCTGCATAGCCAGTTGTACTATCTAATACCAAACAATCCCAGATATATAGTGAGACTCACAATGTGCATTATTTAACATTATCAAGCAGAGAGAGACACATGGTATCAGTAAAATCTGAAGTACTGATCATATTAGGAAAAAGATAAGAAGATTTCATCTTGGGTTATATTCCAAAGAAACGTATAAATTTTCAGGGGAAAATCAGCTTTTTAAAGAAAAAAAAATTTTAGTTACAAAATTAATAAATCATGATGTTTAATATTTATTTTACTACGGTGTGTCACCAGACAATCTATCCCAAGATGTCAATTGAAATAACAGAGATAAATCAAGCTTTAGGATTCAAAATATTCAAATATATTAAGTATTAGGAAAGAATTCTTCACTGAAAGGCTGCTCAGACATTGTAACAAGCTGCTCAGAGAAGTGGTGTAATCACCATCCCTGGAAGTGTTCAAAAAATGTGTAAATGTGGCACTTGGTGACATGGTTTAGTGGTGCTAAATGGCATGGCAGTGTTGGGTTAACAGTCGGACTCAATGATCTTACAGGTCTTTTCCAACCTCAATGATTCTATGATACTGTAAGATTATTTTGAATACCTTCTAGACATCAATTATAACATTAAA